AAGCTGATTCGAGCTCTGGGTATTCGAATCATCTTCTTCGGGAGGTGTGTTTCAATGCATTTTCCATCTGATCCGATTAATTTCTAAAATTCTCTGCTTTCATCGGCCATCAATTCCGTTGAGTGGTCCCCGAAATCGTGGACCCGCTGCAAATCCTCTCGATGGATTCCAGGAACTCGATCGATAAACCGCCTCACCACGAATCAATATCTTCGAGATGGAGCATTTCCTCGAAAGACAATTCCGTCAGAGAAGTGACTTTCGGCGATTTGGGATCAAAGCGCATCCGCCACGGATCAGCTGGAGCTGATTCGGAGATGCTAAGCATGTCACAGAAGGAGATCAAAGACGAAGACGCTCGTTTGGTTTACATAAACGATCCCGAGAGAACGAACGAAAGGTTTGAGTTCACAGGGAATTCAATCAAGACAGCAAAGTACTCTGTATTCACCTTCTTGCCCAGGAACTTGTTTGAACAGTTTCATCGAGTCGCTTACATATACTTCCTCGTGATAGCAGTGCTCAATCAGCTTCCGCAGCTCGCAGTCTTCGGCAGAGGCGCATCGATCATGCCCCTTGCCTTTGTCCTGTTGGTCTCAGCTATCAAAGACGCCTACGAGGATTTCCGGAGACATAGATCAGATAGAGTTGAGAACAATAGGTTGGCTTTAGTGTTTGAGGATAATCAGTTTCAAGAAAAGAAGTGGAAGCATATTCGCGTTGGGGAAGTTATCAAAGTCCAGTCGAACCAGACGCTTCCTTGTGACATGGTGCTCTTGGCTACGAGTGATCCTACAGGTGTTGTCTATGTGCAGACGACTAATTTGGATGGAGAGTCTAATTTGAAGACGAGGTATGCGAAGCAGGAGACTCTTCTGAAAGCTAATGACTTGGAGTCGTTTAATGGATTTATCAAGTGTGAGAAGCCGAATAGGAACATTTATGGGTTTCAAGCCAACATGGAGATTGATGGCAGGAGGCTCTCTCTTGGACCTTCTAATATTATTCTTAGAGGATGTGAGCTTAAGAACACTGCTTGGGCATTAGGAGTTGTTGTTTACGCTGGTGGTGAGACGAAAGCTATGCTCAACAACTCCGGAGCACCGTCGAAGAGGAGTAGGCTAGAGACTCGGATGAATTTGGAGATCATTCTGCTATCTTTGTTTCTTATCGTCTTGTGTACAACCGCAGCTTCGACCGCTGCCGTGTGGTTGAGACGGCACAGGGATGACTTGGACACGATTCTCTTTTACAGGAGAAAGGACTACGCCGAGAGGCCAGGTGGGAAGAATCATAACTACTACGGCTGGGGTTGGGAAATATTCTTCACTTTCTTTATGGCAGTCATCGTGTACCAGATCATGATACCCATTTCTCTCTACATATCGATGGAGCTTGTCCGGATTGGTCAAGCATACTTCATGACCCGAGATGATCAGATGTACGATGAGTCTTCGAACTCAAGTTTTCAATGCAGAGCTTTGAACATTAATGAAGATTTAGGGCAGATCAAGTATTTATTCTCTGATAAGACGGGTACTCTCACGGACAACAAGATGGAGTTTCAATCTGCCTGCATAGGAGGTGTAGATTACTCTGACAGGGAACCGGCGGAGAGTGAGCATCCGGGATACTCCGTTGAAGGTAAAGAAACTATTAATAACTTTTCTGCTATTAAGAGTAGTCTGTTTTTCTGTTCACTGAATGACACTTCTGGTGGTGCCTGAATTTGTCATGACACAGTTGATGGAAATATTTTGAAGCCAAAGATGAGGGTGAGAGTTGATCCTGTGCTGCTTCAGTTGACGAGAAATGGCAAGGCGACACAAGAAGCAGAACGTGCGAATGAGTTCTTCCTCTCGCTGGCAGCTTGCAATACAATTGTGCCTATTGTTACCAACACATCTGATCCCAATGTAAAGCTCGTAGATTATCAAGGGGAGTCTCCTGATGAACAAGCATTGGTCTATGCAGCAGCTGCATATGGTTTCTTGCTCATAGAAAGGACCTCTGGTCATATCGTTATTAATGTGCGAGGAGAAATGCAAAGGTAATTTAGACATGTGATGACTACTTTTATGCCATTATTAATCTGTGTGTCATCATTGCATATCATAGTAGGTGGCCTATAGTAATTATTCCCTTTCTCTTTGCCCAGTGCAGGTTTAATGTCTTAGGACTGCATGAGTTTGATAGTGACCGGAAAAGAATGTCAGTGATACTGGGATGCCCCGACATGTCGGTGAAACTCTATGTAAAAGGTGCAGACTCGTCCATGTTTAATGTCATGGAAGAAATCTCCGGTGACGTCATAGAAGCGACCAAGGAACAACTTCATGCTTACTCATCTGATGGTTTGAGAACTCTTGTTGTTGGGATGAGAGAGCTGAACGATTCAGAGTTTGAGCAATGGCATTCTTCCTTTGAGGCGGCAAGCACCGCTTTGATTGGTAGAGCTGGATTGCTAAGAAAGGTTGCTGGAAACATCGAGACTAGCCTTAGGATAGTAGGAGCGACTGCAATCGAAGACAAATTGCAGCGTGGTGTTCCGGAAGCAATAGAATCTCTCAGAATTGCAGGGATAAAAGTATGGGTCTTGACTGGTGACAAGCAAGAAACTGCCATATCCATTGGCTTCTCATCGAGGCTTCTGACAAGAAACATGAGGCAAATTGTAATAAATAGCAACTCGTTGGCTTCATGTCGGAGGAGCTTAGAAGAAGCAAATGCCAGTATTGCAAGTGATGACGAAAGTGTTAACGTGGCCTTGATTATTGATGGTACCAGTCTCATATATGTACTTGACAATGACCTTGAAGATGTGGTAAGTGAAATTTTGATGATGATCCCTCGCTTTTGACTGTCTTCCATGGTGATGTAATTGTTCAGTTTTTGCAATGCAGCTCTTCCAAGTGGCATATAAATGCTCTGCTATTCTCTGCTGCCGTGTTGCTCCTTTCCAGAAAGCTGGAATCGTTGCCCTTGTAAAGAACCGAACATCCGACATGACTCTTGCCATTGGTGATGGTAATGACTCCACTCTTCTTTCAGAAAATCATTCTGCATGGTCATGTCTAAACAGCAACCCATTTCTTTTTTGTTTTTTCATCTTCTCATTTGCTTCGGGTTTTGACAGGTGCCAATGATGTCTCCATGATCCAAATGGCTGATGTCGGGGTAGGGATCAGCGGACAAGAAGGTCGCCAAGCTGTGATGGCATCTGATTTCGCAATGGGACAGTTCAGATTCTTAGTTCCGCTACTGCTCGTCCATGGACACTGGAATTACCAAAGGATGGGCTATATGATACTATACAACTTCTATAGAAATGCAGTTTTTGTTCTTATTTTATTTTGGTGAGTACCTTTCTTACTGCTTTTTTATCCGTCTTAAAACAATCACCACGTGACTAACCCTCACCAATTTCATGCAGGTACGTTTTGTTTACTTGCTACACATTGACAACCGCGATAACAGAATGGAGTAGTGTCTTGTACTCAGTCATTTACACATCGTTCCCTACGATAATAATCGGTATTCTTGACAAAGACCTTGGAAGGAGGACTCTTCTCGATCATCCCCAGCTCTACGGTGTTGGCCAGAGGGCAGAGGGATATTCCACTACGCTCTTCTGGTATACAATGATGGACACAATCTGGCAAAGTGCTGCGATCTTCTTCATTCCCCTCTTTGCTTACTGGGGGAGTACCATTGACACGTCAAGCCTAGGAGACCTATGGACCATCGCTGCAGTTGTGGTTGTTAATCTTCACTTGGCCATGGATGTAATCAGATGGAACTGGATCACACACGCCGCCATATGGGGATCCATTGTTGCAGCTTGTATATGTGTCATTGTGATCGATCTTATACCCACTCTCCCTGGTTACTGGTAAGTTTCTTCTTCTCTATATAGCAAATCTAATATAGAAAGTCCAAGTTTTTTGCTTTTTCCGACATATGTTTTGTCTTTATGGCTGTGACAGGGCAATTTTTCAAGTGGCAGAGACATGGATGTTCTGGTTTTGCTTGCTAGCGATTGTTGTAACAGCATTGCTTCCTAGATTCGCCATCAAGTTTCTTGGTGAGTATTACAGACCTTCCGATGTTCGGATTGCTAGGGAGGCTGAAAAGCTTGGAACTCTTGGAGTATCCCAAACTCGGGGAATTGAAATGAACCAGATTCGGGATCCTCCAAGAAGATAATATGATGACCAGACCTTTCTCACATCATAATTAATTCTTTATACCCTTTCAGCGGAAGTAAATATAAATTATAAATATATATATCCCCAATTTTTTCCCCTTGGTTCCTTACTGTCTCAAGATTAGAGTTTGTTGGGTTGTAGTGTAACAAAGATTACATAATCTCGGCTGTATTTTCCCCTTTTTGTTGTAACATAACGCACCAGTTTTCCTTTGTAAAGAGAACCTCGAAATTTGATTTTCATTTCCTGGTTAATCAATCCCCACAGTTCAGTGTTCAGTGCCTAATTAGTTGATTTTGGCTGTACACATATCCTTTAAGTTTTCATTGCTGCCTTGGCTATTTCTGAAAAAAAAACGAACCATAATATCACATTCATATAACATTTAATCAAAAACAAGGTATAAGTTTCCAGAGATTATCCTAAAACCGATCTTAACACTAATAACATTACATATCCAACAAGTAGAGAAACATGAGAACACATCTTCCACGCACGGTCCGAGCAATATATAGAGGTTTTGATGGAGAAGCAGTAAAAATCCTTCACAGCTTGCGTCTTATGCCGTTGAAGAGATGATCAAAAAGAGACTTCACACTTTATAGGCCACCAAAAGCAGAATGTTCCACTGATCCCTGCCAGATATACGAATCCAGAGGTTCCATATGTTAAATCAAATTCATGAATCTAGATTTAGTAGATAATAACAAATGGGACAGATATCCAAACCTTTTGCAACTAAAACCAGAAGACTCCAGTTGTTTATCAGAGATCGTCGCTTTCTCGTCATCATCAACCAAAAGAACCACGACAGTACTCTGATCCGCAAAAGCACTTCTTTGTGCCATACAAAGGATTGCCATTTTGAGTTCCACTTGGTCGAGAAACTCCATAGTCATAAGTTAACTCAGTCAGGGGAGGGATGTGAGATATCGCAAAGAAAGCAACATGCAAGAAGAGTTGACTGTTGTGTTCGTAAGTCACCGGCTGCCAGAAAACATTAGGGGAGCAACTGTGGTTCATGAATCTAGCAACGTTCCCAACATTCTTAGCACTGACAATTAGAGGCAGCGGCATTTCAGGTTCTTCAGACATCTCCTCAGAACCATCTTCATCCGCCAAGCCAAGCTCATAGTTCCATTTGACAGGCGTAATGACACGGGTTGCATCAAAAGTATAATCATCATTAGCCATAGTCTGCTGAACCTTGGATTTGTCTTTAGCCTCACCTGCATATATACATATAAACGAACCAGCACGAATAGGATCCCATGAGCGCAAGCCCCATCCTCTATTCACAGTCTTGAACACCTCAAGCTTCACTTTCACTCCCATTTGAGTCACCTTGTTCTTGCAAGGCGCGCACGGGCAAGATGGGCTGCATTCATGAATCATAGGCTTGCGGCTAACAAGAACTCCAATACCGGAGTAGGGGAAGTCACCTCCATTCTTCCTTATGCAGTGACAGTCCAAGTTCCCTGGTTTGCATGAGGAGACACAACCGCATCCAAAAGAAGCCTGCGTCAGCTTAAACGACTCCGAGTATTTCACCGTCGTGGCATAGGTGAAAGGAGCAGGCCCATTCTCTGCATCAACGTCATTCACAAGTGAAACAGGTATGCTCTCAACCCCGGAAGCGAGATCAGGAACAAGAAGCCCTTCTCTCAAAGACACACCCGTCTTCCATCTCTGTATCGCAGTCCATGTAGCAAACGCAGGAGGCTGACCAGGAGCTCTCACTAGCTTATACTTGAACGTGTTGTGTCCAGATTTACCTTTCTCTATCCATGACTCTTTGATCTCATAGAGCCCATCATAAACATAGATCTTCGTCTGAGCAGCCTCTTTCAATCCCCTTATCACCCTAACCGGATTGTTCCTATGCAAGCTCTTCTCCAACGCAAGATTCCCTCTTTCAAGCTTCTGGTCAGATGTTTGCTTCTCCTTATCAGCATTCCCACCACCCTGACCGGTATAAACCAACACATCAGGATTCCCTTCGTCGTTATCATAATACCCAGACGACACAATGCTCGTAGCGATAGGCTCCTCTTCCGTTTCCCCCTTGACAACCAGATAGTCAATCCCAGCCATTGACGGAGAGTGCAACCCAACCAAACACATCTCGAACCTGAAGAAGAAGATGTCTCCAATCTCAACGCCAGGAACAAGGCCAGGTCTTTTCTTGGTGTTTGTACGGACGCCTCTGCTCATGCAAGTAGATCCCGCTTTCAAATCAGCGCGTTTGATCGCTCCGCTAACTGCTTCCTTCGCGTCTTCAAGCTGGGAGAATCTTCTTCTCAGCGCGTCAAACCGAATGAGAACACTCATCACCAACAACCTATTGCCATTCTCTCTGTCAGAGACACTAATCCCACTCTCGAAATTCACATTCTCCAGACGCGTCCGTTTCGGTTTTTTAGGGATCTTTCTTTTGATCGTTGACCCTTCAGGCTCTACGTCGCCGTTAGACGTATCGGACGATCTGAATGACCTCAGAGGAGTAACCAACGAAGGCTCGGACGAATTCTGAGGCTGTGTATAGTGAGGCTGTGTATGCTGAGGTGTGTAGTGAGGCTGAGATTGAGGTGGAATGTGGGCTTGATTGAGATCTGGAGTGTGTTGATTCGACTGAGACGAGCTAAAGGGATAGAATGGTGAGAAGCCAGGCGGGAAAGGACCGAAAGGAGGTGCGCAGACGAAAGGCGGAGCTTGGTTTCCACTGGGGAAGACGGGTCTTAGAGTACGCAACGGCTTGATATCCAACACTCTCGTCTTATCAGTGTAGTTTCCAAAAGTCCCTTCCATAGTTTGCAAATCAAATTTCCTTCAATTCAAATCCTTCCAACTAATGTCCCTTAGCTATAGAAAATATCTAGGAAAGCACAGATCCACCTTCTAGGCTACAAACAGCTTCTAGTATAATCCCATTTCAAAGATCAGAGATCCTCAAAATCGAATTAGGCGCATGCAGAGAGAAACCATCATCGCAGATTCAGAGGTACGAAGAAAATGGTTAAAACATGAAGAAGAGAACCTGAAATTCGGGCTTTGGAGATCGTCTTCGAAGTTCGAGCTCGTTCGTCAGATTAGGGTTTCCGAAAAGGGAGAGACAGGGAGGAGAATGAGAGGGAAACAAATAGAGAAAATATGTCCAACTTGGGTAAAATTTTAATCAACAGATTTGGAGTTTATTATTACACATCTGTGACTTCACTGACATCTGTAACAACACAGTTAGAGAAGAAGCTGAGATTAGCCGTTGGATCAAAGTATTTTTTATTCTATAACAGTACAAAGATCTAATATGACTGGATTACCTACGGAAAAGGTTGTCGTTTTCTTTTTATCTCGTACTTGTGTAGTGAATTCGTGTCTTGGTGATGTAATCACTTTTTGGAACTTTTGTCGGTTGCCGGTTTTCACCCGTGTGCATAATTCTGTGTCCTTTTGGACAACTTACTGAATAACCAAGGGGTTGCCGGCCTATTTCCCCCTCAACTAAATTGATTCCATCGCGATTCACACAGACTTTTGAGCCCCTTTTATTTCCACCAAACTATTAATCTCTGTCGGTTCCCCCATTTGCATTTTAAAAAACAAAATCCAGTTTTCAAAACAGTGATTGCCCATTTTAACTCAATTGACCCGGGGTTTTAAAACGCAAACCAGCGATTGGTCTAACAAATCAGACCCGATTACATCTAATCCTAATCCGAAACCCACACACATAAAATTAAAATCAATTTGGGGGAAATCAAAAGAGGATTAGGATTCGTCGATTCTGAGTAGGGTTATAAAATCAAATCCTGCAAAGCTCATCAATTGCTGGATACTTCCAGGTGCTGTTTCTCAGTAGTGCTATATTGTGATTTATCTTTTGGTCTCTTCTGGTTATGCAATTGTTTGTTTATGTTGACACAGACGAATGAAAACAATGCAAGAAAAGTTGCTCTTATGTGTCATTCTCTTCATGAGTTTCTCCCTCACTTTTGCCTCACATTAAAACGTAAATTTGGTTTGTTTATGAACAGACCGGAGAATCTTTGCACTGTCCAGAACGTAAATCGATTTGGGGGAAATCAAAAGGAAATTAAACGCAAACCCCATGAACCCTAATCCCCTTTTGATTTTCCCCAAATCGATTTTAATTTTTTGAGTGTGGGTTTCGGGTTAGGGTTAGATGTAATCGGGTCTGATTTGTTAGACCAACCGCGGGTTTGCGTTTTAAAACCCCGAGTTAATTGAGTTAAAACGGGCAATCACTGTTCTGAAAACTGGATTTTGTTTTTTAAAACGCAAATGGGGGAACCGACAGAGATTAATAGTTTGGGTGGAAATAAAAAGGGCTCAAAAATCTGTGTGAATCGCGATGGAAACAGTTTAGTTGGGGGGAATAGGCGGGCAACCCAATAACCAAGCTAAACCAGTTCGAATTAAGAACATAGGTTCTGTTTTTTAGAGACATAATTAGGCGAAAATTGTTTTTTTTGTGATATAGTTAGAAGGAGAAAAAGAAAATGGTACGAGTATATTTCATCAAGAAGTGTATTAACAAGCTGTTTAAAGTGACCCTCATTTTTTGTTTTGACATAATATGATTTTCTCTGCAAATCTTCTTGTTAAAGTATTACAAAAGACTTATTCATCTAATCTTTAACCAAAGCAGACTGGAGTCTCCAGAGATTTGTCCTAAATACGACCTGACACTACTAAGATTACACATATCCAACAGAAGAATAACCTAAGGAGAAGCCAGTAATGATCCTTCACAACTTGCCTCTTATCCTGTTGAAGAGAGAATCCAGAAGGTTAAATGTGTTGACCAAAACCATGAATATAGATTCAATAGACAGACATAATAATAACAATATGGGGCAGAGATATATACCTTTTGCAACCAAAATTATCTTCTGCCTCAAGTGGTTCCCCAAAAGGCCGTTTTTTGTGGCTGTCATCAACCAAATGAGCCACGGCAATACTCTGACCCGCAAAAGCAGTTCTTTTTGCCGTATAAAGGATTGCCATATTGACTTCCGCTTGGTCGAGAAACTCCATAATCGTATGTTAACTCAGTCAGGGGAGGGATGTGAGAAATAGCAAAGAAGGCGACATGCAAAAAGAGTTGACCGTTGTTTTCGTAAGACACAGGCTGCCAGAAAACATTAGGGGAGCAACTGTGGTTCATGAATCTGGCAACGTTCCCAACATTCTTAGCACTGATAATAAGAGGCAGCGGCATTTCAGGTTCTTCAGACATCTCCTCAGATCCATCTTCATCCGCCAAGCCAACCTCATAGTTCCATTTGAAAGGTGTAAAGACACGGGTTGTATCAAAAGTATAATCATCACTACCCATAGTTTGCTGCTCCTTGGATTTGTCTTTAGCCTCACCTGCATATATGCATATAAACGAACCAGCACGAATAGGCTCCCATGAGCACAAGCCCCATCCTCTGTTCGCTGTCTTGAAAACTTCCAGCCTCACTTTTAGTCCCATTTGAGTCACCTTGTTTTTGCAAGACAAGCACGGGCAAGATGGGCTGCATTCGTATATCATAGGCTTCCGGCTAACAAGAACTCCATTACCGGTGTAAGGAAAATCACCTCCATTTTGCCTTATGCAGAGACAGTTCAAGTTCCCTGGTTTGCATAAGTGGCCACAATCGCATCCAGAGGAAGGCTGCGTCAGCTTAAACGACTCCGAGTATTTCACCGTTGTGGAGTATGTGAAATAAGCAGTCCCACGCTCGCCATCAACGTCATTCACAAGCGAAACAGGTATGCGTTCGACCCCGGAAGTGATATCTTGAGAAATGAGTCCTTCCCTTGAAAGCAAACCCGCCTTCCACTTCTTGATCGCAGCCCATGTGGCAAACGCAGGAGGCTGACCAGGAGCTCTCACTAGTCTATACTTGAAGGTGTTGTGTCCAGATTTTCCTTTCTCCGTCCATGACTCTTTCACCTCATAGAGCCCATCATAAACATAGATCTTAACACTATGCGAAGCCTCTCTTAATCCCCTAATCACCCTAACCATACTATTCTTATGCATGCTCTTCTCCAACGAAAGACTACCTTTTTCAAGCTTTTGGTCAGACGCTTGCTTATCTTTATCAGCAGCGTTACCACCCTGACCAGTATAAACCAAAACATCAGGATCACCTTCGTCTTTATCATATTTTCCGGAAGATACAATGCTGGTAGCGAAAGGTTCCTCTTCTGCTTCTCCCTTGACAACCAGATAGTCAATCCCAGCCATCGATGGAGAATGCAACCCCACCAAACACATCTCGAACCTGAAGAAGAATATGTCCCCAATCTCAACACCGGGAACAATACCGAGTCTTTTCTTGGCGTTTGTGCGGACTCCTCTGCTCATACAAGTAGCTCCTGCTTTCATATCAGGGCGTTGGATAATCCCGCTAGGTTCTCCTTTTGCATCTTCAAGTTGGGAAATTCTTCTTCTCAGCGCATCAAACCGAGTAAGAACACTCATCAACAACTCTCTATTGCCATTATCTCTCTCAGCCACACTAATCCCACTCTCGAAATTCACGTTCCCATACCGACGACGCGGCCTTCTAGGGGTCTTTCTTTTCGATGGTGTTCCTTCAAGTTCCATGTCGCCATTAGACGTATCAGGAGATGTCAATGGCCCCACAGGAGTAACCAACAAAGATTGAGATGGATCATGCAGCTGAATTTGCTGTGGATTATGCGGCTGAATTTGCTGTGGACTTTGAGGCTGAATTTGTGGATTTTGAGACTGGATTTGTCGATTCTGAGGCTGATTTGGCTGTGGATTCTGAGGCTGATTTGGCTGTGGATTTTGAGGGTGAATTTGTGGATTCTGAGGCTGGTGTTGAGGTGTATATTGAGGAGGCTGGTGTTGAGGTGGATTCCGGGCTTGATCGAGATCTGGCGTGTGTTGATTCGATTGAGACGAGCTAAACGGATAGAACGGTGAGAAGCCAGGCGGGAAAGGACCGAAAGGAGGTGCGCAGACGAAAGGCGGAGCTTGATTTCCGCTGGGGAAAACAGGTGTTAGAGTGCGCAGTGGTTTGATATCCAACACTCTCGTTTTATCAGTGAAGCATCCAAAATTCCCTTCCATTGTTGCAATTCAAACGGACAATGATAATCTCCAAAACCAAAACCCCAGCTGTAGAAGATCCTGCAAATCGCGAATCCACCTTCTTCTTCGTCTCTTTTTCCCCCAAAAATCAAAGATCGGAGATATTCAAAGCCGAATTACACGCATTGCACAGAGAAACTATCATCGCACACTCAGAGAAACGAAAAATAGAAAAACTCGACAACGGACGTTGACCCACAAACCCAGAAAGATTGAAACTTCACAAAGGAAACCTGGAATTTGCAGTGAGAGATCGCGCACCTTCTGAGCTCAGATTAGGGTTTCCGAAGACAGTCACAGAATTGTGGTTTCCGTTTGAATTCGTCGTTCTGTTAAGTGCAGTCGCAGTTGGTGATAAATTACCTTTTGGGACTTTTTCTTTTTAGGTTTCCGATTTCATCGCCTTTCCTTAAGCCAGTTTGGAAAATTTTAATTTCATATTCACCCCTTTACTCTTAGTTCCTCCTAATTTTGTGTCTCATATATATTTACGATATTTCAGGTCCATTTGGATTATTTGGCATTCATGTTGAAATATATAAAATCAAATTAAATTCTGATTTGTTTGATGACTAAATAATTTCAGAATAGATCCATATCCTGAAAATAATTGTTTATGGGTTTGGCGTGGTATCAGTCACAACTTATTTCCAGATGAGACATACATCACAAACGAATCCAATATGATAATATAATATATGGATCTGGATTTTCAAGATATATTAAAAAAAAAAAAACATTGTTTATATTTTTATTGATAAAACAAAGAACACAGAAATGGTTCTGTATCTTCACAGTTCACAGCGAACAGCGACGATCAAAGAACTCAAAATTCACAAACTTATACTTAATAAACGTCACAAGACACATAAGACATAAAATTAACATTAAGACAAAAAGAAATCAACACATGATCTTAAGAAAAGAGATGTGTTAATTAATTACTTGCTTACTCGATGGCACTAAACTCCTCGATCATCATCTTCTTCTTGCAACGATTGTTCATAATCGCATGGACCTTAGAACAGTTACAAGGCATGAACATGCAACCACGAGTACCATTAACTCCAGCTGTGATCGAACCACCGAGCTTGCGTGCGATCACAACCGAGTTAACCACGTCATCGGTCGGATGATAGATGGTCAAGAGCTGAAAGCCTTTGAGATCAGAAGAGTCAACTATTGGATATAAGAAAGCCCTAAGAGCATGAGCACTCCTTAGCATAAGAACAGCTCCAGGAGCCATGTGTTTCTCCAAGTGCTCGATGGCTTTGACCTTTGCCTCTTTGTCCATCCCAACAAGAGCGGCCAAGAAAACGACATCGTATTGGTCTAGTCCTTCATTAGCGTTTAAAACGTCCGTTGTGTGGAAGATCATGCGGTTTGAGAGGTCCGGGTCGCGAGAGACGAGGCTTGACGCGAGTGTGTTTGCGTGTGAGTCGATGTCGAAGTTGTGGAACGTCGTGTTCGGGAGGTGAAACTTGGCCAAGACGATGGATGTAAGAGGCATCGGACCGGAACCAACAAAGGCAATCTTGGTCGGGACATGGCTCGTGTGTTGGCTCAGGAGATCGAACTCGATCTTGCTTAGCTTGAGGTAGTTGTCGTAGTAAGGAAAGATGTGTAAGTGGTCAAGTGGGTTTTCGTCCTCCTGTAAAGACCCCAAGATTGTGGAGAAGTGTTGCTCTAAATAACCTTCGGCTTCACCACAGAGCTTGATGAGATTAGATCTCATGTCTTTGACTTCTTCAGACATCTTTGTGACATCGATGTTTGTGTCCGTGGGTAAGCACGTGGACACGAGTTGCCCGAACAAAGTGTCGACATTTTTGGAAGGTTTTAAGCTCTCGAGCTTTGAGAGTTGGTCGTATAAGTCGATGATTTGCTTCACAACAAGATTGTTTTTGCAAGCCATGTCGACACTATGAGGTTATTTTTAGGAGAGATGATGAGTATTGAAATTCTTAATATTCTTCTGTTTCAAGACTTAGAAAATTCTTGTGTGCTTTAACCCTCGCAAAGGGTCGTTATTTATTGGCAGTTGCAGCTGTGGGGTCCATTGCCCTTATTTTATCTATCGATGATTCTATTCATATACGTTCATAAGTGATATGTGGTCTATCTCGTTTACAAACAATGATAAAATATCAAATCATGAAGCAAATGATCTCTACACACACGATAATGTTCGATATGTAATACTTTGTTTATACGTATAAAAAATCTGGTAAGACAAAGTCACAGAAATGTATTTGACAATATGGTTAAAAGTCGATTATTTACTTTATCAGTTGAAAATAAACATGCATATGTACATTAGATAATATCACTTATCTAATCAGATAAATAAACTGAAGAGTGTTGTCTATATTTTGATGTATTTAGTCGCATAATCATCATTTTTGTTGTACAAAACAAAAATGTGGCACTAACCATTCCAAACGAAAGCCTTTACCCACATGGCATGATCCACAACTTGGACTACCATGTTTGTCAATTAATTACCTAATATTTAGATTCCGTTCACTAATGCTTGACTGGGAATAAATCTCAATTATTTTGGGCTTAACAACTAGAAGTGTTCTAAGCGGGACTAAGTAGGGTGGTTCCAGTCGGATCCCTCAGAACTTTAACCATTTGCCATGAATATGTGAGAAAATAATATTCCTCCAAATCAAACGGCAATATTTTTATAAAACCCTTTTCAACAAGTTCTCCTTCTACCTTTGAAGAGCAGAAGAACAAATGGGATGAGTTTTACACGCTTCGCTCACTTATTATTGTTATTTTTTCTTATTCAGTCATGATACCGTACACTTTCAAAATTCCTTTCATTTTGACTGTTATTCAGCATTATTCATCCCACTGAATAAATTGTATTAATTCATTAAACATGTGGGAGTGACGAACAACATATTTCTAGTTGGAGCGGCAGTTTAAGGCTTTAAGAAATCATTTCCACTTGTCAGCTTTTAAAGCCGATTAACGAAAGATCAAACTTAATTAACAAACAAAAAAATCATATGCGAAGACAATTTTGTAAAGAGAATTTTGTACACGTGTAGATGGACTATCATTTAGACCTACCTTAAACATAACTGAAAGATAATTTTAACATATTTTAACACTGAATTACTTCGAACTCCATATAAATTGTAATTAAGATAGAAAAAATCTCTTTTGTAATTGAGATAATTTGATGTTACATAAACACTGAATTCATTATTTAACATTATTGTCTCTTGCGTAAACTGAATGGCCAATTTGACGTCCATCTCAACGTAGACATATATGATCCTAAAAACAAAAAACGAAATTTGTTTTCATACTTCAAATCAATCGTACTACAGTAAGCTTTATAACTTCTTGTTGAAATGCATTTCATGCATGACCCTCACTGTTTCGTTTGCTTTTGTTTCTATGATTATTTAGTAGACATTTTTTTGCGTTTATGGTTGGAGTTTACATCAATTAGTTTTTATTTTGTATCTGTTCCTGTTGTTGGAAGTAAATCTCTTTCTTTTGAAATGGTTGAAGGAAAACTAGCTGTTTTTAGCGTAATTCTTTCTTTTCGTCAACATTTTGTAACCTTAAAATTAGGTTAACTTTTAACGTAACCCTAATTAAGAAATTCACTTATGTATGAAGAGAAGTTGGTTGACTACCAAGTCAACATTCTCATGTAGCTATATCTAAATTAATAATTATACAACCATAAATGCTTTGTCTATTTATAGCATTCAGAAATCTTGAATTTAAATGAGTGTGATGTTTTAGACTTTTGATATGTTGCATAAGTGGTGAACATAACAAATATTTCCAGCCACAATATAAAGCGTCTACCAACACGTCAGTACAAAGAAGAATTATATCTATCAATGCCAGAAATGATACTTTCCGCATATGATAAGTAAAGAAAGAAGTAAAATTAATATATGTACGAATATCGAATATGAACAAATCTAAACCACAAGCGTCTTGTCACATATTTCAGTCCTGTGTATTTTAGATCGATCTACAACCTTTTATTCTTGTAGGCTCCGCTTCTCAATGCAAGGCTTAATCAACCAAAAGGCCGATGCCGTTTGGAAATCTCGTACGTTTTAGAGAGATTAGCTATTATAGACATAATTTTGAACCAAAAAAAAGAAAAAGCTATTAGACATAATTATGAGGTTTAAGTAATTATAGAAAGAGACGTTTGGACTTTGGAGATTGTGTATGGAAAAATTCCCACCAATAATTGACAATGTGCACTTCACTATTTTCTTTATAAAACTCATAAATCGTTAATATATTGAGAGAAAATACTATAAGTGGACATACATACAGTATATGATATGGTATCCCACCTAGCTTGGCCATATATGCTAATAATTTTGATGAAGATCTCAACTAAAGTGCAATATTTTGATTGAAAAATATTTGTGTAAAATATAAAATAAAAGGAATCCTCTAAAAAAAAACATGAGAAGCACTCGCAATGTTCTCAGCTTAATAAACGATTCATCATCTTAGTGCCTCGCACGCAAATATGTATGTACCGCGTATAACCAAATTCCTTAAATTCAATACAATAAAATATGTAAATCAGAGACCCTATATATCATCTATGCAAAGAAAAACGAATCACTCAAAACATTTGTTCATACAATTCTACAATATCATATTATAGAGGCCGGATAGGAGGAATTTACCAAAATGTCCTCCTACGGCAAAATCGACGAGCATGAGCAAGCGAAGCTCGAGGCAAGTCGGAGGACAAAGAAGAGAATCGCCATTATCGCCATATCTTCCATCGTTCTCGTCTGCATTATCGTCGGAGCCGTCGTCGGGACCGCAGCTAACGGTAACGGCCAAAAACGTTCGAAGGAGAGTGACGAAGAATCACTCTCCGTCTCCGTGAAAGCCGTTTGCGACGTGACATTGCACAAAGAAAAATGTTTCGAGACCGTTGGATCGGCTCCAAACGCAAGCCGACTAAACCCGGAGGAGCTTTTCAAGTACGCCGTCAAAATCACCATCATCGAGCTCTCAAAAGTTCTCGACGGATTCTCCAGCGACGACCACATGGATAGCGCCACGTCAGGAGCAATGGGAGCTTGCTTTGAGCTCATCGAACTAGCCGTTGACCAGCTCAACTATACGATGAAGTCAATGGAAGACAAGAAAACGACGCCCTATGAGAGCATCGACGATCTCAGGACGTGGCTTAGCTCCGTGGAAACGTACCAAGAAACGTGTCAGGAAGCGTTGAACGAAGCGAACAAACCGGGTTTGGCGAATTACGGAGAAACACACATGAAAAACGCGACGGAGATGACAAGCAATGCGTTGGCGATCATCACGTGGCTAGGGAAAATCGCCGACTCCATTAAGCTGAGACGACGACGTTTGATGACGACCGGTGACGTCAGCCCTCTTGACTTGGCGATGATGAAAGGTCGGAGGCTTTTGGAGAGTGGTGATTTGAGGAAGATGGCGGATATCGTGGTGGCGAAAGATGGTTCGGGGAAGTATAGGACCATAACGGAGGCTTTAGAGAAAGTGAAGGAGAAGAATGAGAAGCGTACGATTATATATGTCAAGGGAGGAGTTTATTTGGAGAATGTTAGGGTTGAGAAGACCAAATGGAATGTTGTGATGGTTGGAGATGGACAGAGGAAGACTGTTGTCGCTGCTGGACTCAACTTCATCGATGGAACCCCAACGTTCCATACCGCCACATTTGGTACGTCGTATACTTATATGTTTATGCATCGATTTCTTTCAAAACCAAAGTTTTTTATGTTTGTGTTTGCGTCGAGAATTTTAAATATTTTTCAGGTTGTAAAATAATGCTAGTAAGTTACAAAATAAAAGTTTAAATAGTAAAAATATAGAGGACTGCCTTGAAATACCATTAAAATAAGTATTGTGGTATTTTTGGAAAAACATGTTTTGTGGTATTTCTGGAAAAAACCATATTTTGTGGTATTTTCGGAAAAACAATTTTGTGGTACTTTTTGGAAAAATCATATTTTGTGGTATTTTCGGAAAAAAACTTAGTGGTGGTAGTTTTGAAACAAAAACTTATATTGTGGTATTTTTGAGAATTTCCCGAAAACCTTTATAGTTTGATTTATTTGAAGATAAATTTACTACACATACACAAAAGAAAGAACATTAATTAGAAAGACAGTGTTTTTGGAGATTTCTTGAGTTATATAGGCAAGAATTTAGGTTTTGATGGCCGTGGAAGCTAAAATGACTTGTGTACTGTATAGCTGTGTTCGGAAAGGGATTCATGGCTAGGGACATGGGCTTCCACAACACAGCGGGTCCAGCGAAGCATCAAGCCGTAGCTCTAATGGCGAGCGCAGACTTAGCCGTGTTCTATAGATGCACCATGGACGCTTTCCAAGATACGCTTTACGCTCATGCACAACGTCAGTTTTATCGCGAGTGTGACATTTACGGAACGGTAGATTTTATATTCGGAAACGCTGCAGTTGTTTTCCAAAACTGCAACATCTTGCCTCGTCGACCCATGAAGGGCCAACAAAACACCATAACCGCTCAGGGCAAGAAAGATCCGAACCAAAACACCGGAATATCAATCCACAATTGTACCATCTTGCCTTTGGATAACCTAACCGGTATTAAAACGTTCCTAGGCCGGCCTTGGAAGGAGTTCTCTACGACGGTGATCATGAAGTCGTACATGGACGGGTTTATCGACCCGAAAGGGTGGTTACCATGGACTGGAGATACCGCACCAGACACCATTTTCTACGCCGAGCACTTGAATTTCGGACCAGGAGCCTCGACGAAGAACCGGGTTAAGTGGAAAGGGTTGAAGACTTTTTTAACAAAGAAGGAAGCGAATAGGTTCACGGTGAAACCTTTCATTGACGGCAATAACTGGTTGCCGCCAACCAAAGTTCCCTTCAAATCTGATTTTTGAGGATATATTTTTCGGACAAAAAAAAAAAAGAGGGTATATTTTTCGGAGAAGGCTCACCGGAAAAATTGATGGCTTGTCGTTCCTTAACTTGTTTTCTAACGAACATTCAATTTTCCCATCCAAATTATTTTCATGTAAGTTTGCGTGTTTTTCAATTTTATTGATTTGTTGTTACCTCGTCAAATATATATTCATAAAATTTTATTGGTTAGTCTTACTAAATCTTTTGCTTAATCTATCTTTTGTTATCATATTTATACCAATCTCTTCTGAATCTCATCTCTAACCTCAATCTAGCTTCCCGATAGATCCGTGATCTATCAGTTTAGCGCCGCTGATTCCTATCGATCTCTTCCTCTCGCAGTGGAAGTATCTGTTTGTCCATAAGAATCTGGTTTTAATTGTGTTTTCGGCTAGTGTAAAATTAATGTCCGGTTCGACGTCACTCGAGGCTCCTCCTGCCTCTCCGGTGGATATCGGAATTAGGCTCGAGAAAATTCGCTGCAAACACGAGGAAATTGAAAGATTGGAGCAATTGGTTATGGAAGATCTAAAGACAGAAGAGACTTGTCCGATGAAGCAATTGTTGCAAGGCCACCGTCTCCGAAGCTTGGCTAAGTCTATCATGCTTAAGTCTACGAAACTTGTACGTTTTTCTTCTTCTCTCAAGTTATGTTGCTCAACTCTAGATGAATTGTGCTAGTTCACATGATGCCTTGGATTTTAAGTTATATGCTACTTTGATTTTTTTGTTGGCTGCAAGGTTGAAACCTATGAAAAGATTGAAGGTGATACAGTGCCGCTTCGTTTCCAGAGTCCATCATCTACAGTGTCTAGTGCCTTTTCTTCTCGTTTAAAAGAGGTTTGCATCTTCATTGTTTTACTACTTTGGTTTTTGCAGGATGATTTTTCTTTTTGGCTTAGCTTCTTTTGGTTGTTTGTTTATCAGATTCTTGAATATTATGGAACGCATACTTGTGCACCCCTGGTAGACTATGAAGCACCCACCATGGAGGAACCAGTCATTGCCTTTACCGCAGAGGTAAGCTTCTGTTTTATGCTTGACAACATATCTTTGACACTTTCTAACACTAGTATAAGCCCCAATTGCAAAATCTTCTTCTTTTTTTCCAATTGTAAAATCTGTGCAGGAGTGCTTTGGTCGGTACTTGGAATTGCACGATCTGCATAACCAGTACATCAACTCTAGTTTCGGTGAAAGGGTTGATTATTCTGCTTACCTTGATGTTTTTTCTCAACCAGAGAAGATACCTCCTAAACTTAAGCTGTCTAGGTAAAACATTTCATTGAATTTTCTTCTACTAATTAAGAAATATCCATTATTATTCTAAAATTTTCGTTTCTTTTTCTTTTTGTAAGGCAATACACAGAGTATATGGAAGCTCTGCTAAGGTATTTGATCTGCTTTTTCAAGCGAGCCCATCCGTTGCCAGATCCGGACAGAATACTTTCTAAGGTTTGATCTTCTTTTGTTCTTTATGTTTTCAACGTGTTGCCTTATCATAGAAAAGTTGCAATAATTACTCTATGTTGGACGTTGCAGGTTGAAGCTGATCTAGAAGAGCAGTATGGAGCCAAGAAAGTGGGAGGCTTGGAGAAACAGGGCCAAGAAAATGATCTTGAACGTTTGGAAAGGAAACAGTTGCTAATGGAGGCCCAGGTGAAGAAACTCTGCAATTTACTCGATGAGGTTTGTTGATTGAAGTTTGTATTTACCTTTCCCTCACAAAAAGAATGTCAGATGTTTTTAGTTGTGCTTGAACTACCATGTGTACAGACAATCGAAAGGACAAAACACAAGGGTGAGGCTTTGGCATTTGAAGTTGGTACAGAAACAGAAAGTGGTGCAATGGGTTGGGATGGCAAGCCTGTACCATACTGGCTCCACAAACTTGGCCAGGTAATGTAGTTATTGTTATACCCTTTGATGATTGATTGATGTTGTTGTAAAGGAAGAGAGGAGGAAGTCTGTTGTTAAGACAGTATTTTGTCTGCTTGTAGGTGTATGAATGCGAGATATGCAAGAACTATGGCTATGCAGGGAAGGTGGCGTTTGAGAGACATTTTGAAGAAGGGCGCCACCAACGCCAATTTCGTTGCTTAGGAATTCCAATCACAGACAAGTTGAACGGAGTCGCTTCGATTCAGGTATCTTGGCTCTCAAGGTTTTGTTAGCAAATAGGTTTTGAATGAACTGAGATTGTTTGTTTCAGGAAGCAAAAGAAATTATGGGGATGTCAAAGAGGCGGAGGCTCCACCGGCCACTCAATACTGATGGGAAACAACAGATAACGGAAGGGAAGGGTCCAGATGAAGCTCCGGCAATGCCAACTCCAGGCATCACAAGTGTATTGGAGAAAACCGTGGGCATCCTTTTAGATAAAGGGTTAAAGACTGAGAGGAGGATCATAGAGCTGTATGGGGATGTAGCAGGATTCGAGTTTTTGAGAAGCAGTGATCCTCATCACGCATATTACAAGCACAGGCTAAATGAACTCCGAGCTCGAGCTCATGCTACTGGCTCGGCAGCTACACGTGAATGTTCACGGGAAAGGCCCCATCCGGCTGAGTTAGGGGTTTCTCGTGCTCCTCTGCCTCGTGAACCTCACATGTTTACATGCAGACTCCCTGAAGGGATCACGGGCAAGGAGGTTCAAGTTATTAAGCTCACAGCGCTGTTTTATGCGCTGAATGGGGGATGTTACTGGGAGGGTTGTAGTGAAAGATGGAATAAGGATCCGGAGTTTATGAAGCCAACTCGTGGCGGCAGCAGCAGGTCCAGTTTTTTCTATCGACTTTCTAATGCGTATGTGGAACTAGCAAGTCCTCCCGAGAGCTTGATAGAAACGCTGAGGGAGAATGCCGCTGATGTGGAGACGGTTCTTGGGAATTGTTTCCTTCGTCTTCAATGGTGGCGATTCGTGGAGGAGCGCATGGAGAAAGTAAGGGAGCACAACGCAAGGGAGGACGCGATCAGGTGTGCTCCACTTCCAATTGCCCGCCTCATGGAGATGGCCCAAATTGCTTCCTCCATTGCCGCTGCTGACTCCATGATCACGTCATCCCTCTAACTACTATTGCAACTCAAGTTTGGTACATGATCTTAAAACAAATTAAAGAGCTGTTTTTTGTTTTGTTATGTTGGCATTGTGTTACAGACCGGAAGACTTGCCGAGTTTTTTTGGTTTGGTCGGCCAATATACTACAACAAAATAGTGATAATCTAGGCGTTCCGAAAGATCAGCTAGTGGCAAGATCGTAATTAAATATAAACTGTGTGGTTTCAAGTTTCTACCAAGATGCTTTTTCAACAGTTGACTTGATGTAGGTTATTGTCTCCTAGTTCCGGTTTTACCCTCGCAAACCTCAACGTTGACGACAAACACGGCGCAGACCGGCCGGTGATCGGAGAATCGAGATTCGCCGCGCACGTACGAGAGCTGCCTGATTCCATCCCCGTGCCAAAGAATCCTATCGCACCTGATCAAAAGATAAGAAAATCCAGTTTAGCTAAACCGAACCAAAACCAATCGAAATAAAAAAATATAAATTTATCCGGTTAATAATACCAGGCCGGAGTTCTCCTCTTGTTCTTCTTCTCTTTGGTTGTATCTCCGGCGTAAGCATCTGAGTTATAAGAGTACTTATAAGTTGGTGCGAAGAATATTTTGCCTTCGTGCCATCCTTTGAACACTCGTCCCGCGTCTCTTTCAATCTTGAGCTGTAATACGTTTCCGAACCAATAAACCGGTTTAGTTACCAACACTAAAATTTGATTTCTTGGGTGTAAAGGAACCAACTGTGAAACCTGATCTTTGTTGAGAAGAGTGTCCCAAGCGTTTTTATCCAAGAGCGTCTTTGTCTCTGAGTAACTCAAAGCTATTCTGTAGTTTAAATCTCCTAGCCAGATGACCCGACTGAGAGTAAGATCCGATTAAGAAACCATGGATAAACAAAGAGAGAATGGAGTAAAATATATGTGAGATCTTAAATCTTACTCGTGCTTAGTGATACGATCGGGAACACGGGTGAAAGACGTTCTACATATTCTGGGGAAAGTTGTGTTCTTGAGAATCTCGATTACATCTGAGTTTCTGCGACGTTCGTCTCCTTCTCTCTCGCCAGAAGCTAGATGGCTGCAAATGAAGCAGAAGCTCGTCTTGTACAGCTGCAAACTCACAGCTATGCATCCCTACGATGATGAAGAAGAGAATATCAGAAACAGAGTTTTTTCGTTCTTTCTTGTTTTTGGCTTTTTAAGTGTGTGAGAGTTATGAGAATACTGTACCTTGTTTCCTAAGCAACCCATGATTCCGCGGGTGACAGAGGAGATTCTGAGATGAGTAACATGTTGAATAAGCTCCTTTCTCATCCACACAGTGAGGAATATTCCCACCATTTGCTTTGATGCCACTAAACCATACTTCATCATCATCTGGTTGCTTACAAGTGAAGCAACATTTCCTCCCCCATCCTCGTCATCATCATCTTCATCTTCATCTTCTTCTTCTTCGTCATCATCAGAAAGTAAACCGGTTTGGTTGACCAGAGATTCTGGACACCTGAAACAAGATTCTCTCCCATACTTTTTGGCAATCTCTTCAGAGAAAGAGCTGCAGTTACAGATCTTCAGCTTTCTCCTGCAATCTGTTCTGAAACTCTCACTGATCTTCTTCAAAGAAGGTTTCGCAAAGAACATCGATCCAGCGCCAAAAGATGGTGTTTTGGGGCCAAGCCGTCCACCTGATGATGATGATGATGATGGTGATGATTTGTTCAAGGACTGATTGATCATCGCTAGCCATTTCGCAGCTGGCTCGTTGTCTCCAAGCACAAGAACATTTCCAGCATTCAATGGAACAATCTCCTGAAAACTATGAAAGCACAAAGAAAGAAAAATCGATATAGAGAGGTTCTTTGCAATACTCAGAGAAATCAAGAAAACAGTTTACCCTAAAACGTATATATCGTATTCACTGTGGACATGAAGCAAAGCGTCGAGATCAAGACCAGAGTGAGGAGATTTTCCTCCCACGTTCCATGTCGCCACAAAGACTCTTCATATGAGCACAAAAAAAAACAAAAAACATTAACAGATGAAAACAGAGCTGCTCTGTTTTAATCATAGAACAAGTCAAAGCAGCTACTTTGAAAAAAGTAAAAAAATCAAGAATCTATCCTGAGAAAAAAAAAAGCTAATACAGATGTGTGTATATATACCTCAAGGATTGGAGTTGCTGAGTGGGCATTGAAGATCTGAAATTGCTTGGAGCTAACAAAGATTCAACTACTATCTCGGATTGAGACTCTGCAAAAGTTCAAAATAATATCCAAAAAATATCTGTAAAAGATAAAACAGAGTACATAGTTGTGAAGCTAAATATAGAGACACACAAACACATGTATACAGAGTGACATACTATTAAATATGTAGAGTGGATCCGACATGTTTATTTTTCAAGGATTAAAGGGACTTTCTTTGGAGGGTTCTCATGGTATGAAGGAGAATAAAAGAATTTCTTCTTGAGGTTTGGTCTCCGAACACAAATGAAGGAAGCGTTCAATTGCAAAGGGGGCTTTTCTTATCATTATTTTATCTTTGTTTTATGCAAATGCTTCGGTGTTCAATCCGATTTTCTTGTATTATATAATTTTTTAGAAAAGAAGAGGTCTTTATCAGTTTGAAGCAAAGATAAGAAAGAATTAAAATATTTGAAAGAATATATTCTAAAAAGTCAGAAATCAAGAACAATGTTCCCTTTCCTTGATACTTATATGCCCTTTTTTTAATATACAACAAATCTTCTTCTTCCTTTTCATCTTTTTTTTTTCTTCTTTTCGTTCTATCATGTGGTGTATAGACCTAGATTAACATTATACATGAATCCTTCTGATGCGTACTTTGACCGAACCTTTTGTCTGTAACCACTTTGACCGAACTTTGATTACTTCTGTTAGAAAGTAACGTTTTTAGTGCAATATGATTGTATATATCGAGAGCCTAGAGCACTCCAATCAACTTGGTTTGAATTTCATCGAGTCCAGTAAAGAAACTGAATTTAGGCAAATCTACTACTTTAGTTTGGTATAGTTTTATTCGGCGGTTTTAAATAACAAATCAACTCTCTGATTCGATTGTTTACTAATTTTTTTCTCTTCGACTTTGGTTATCGTTTTCCGAATTATTGAGTACGTTAGTTGGCAGATTAGATTTGATTTAATTGAATATGACACTTATAGACAGAGGTGTATATTCTCCATGAACGAAACCAAGTTGGTGATATTCTTTGAAGATGAAGTTAAATAATCATATCAACACTACGAGATAGGTAAGATGCGTTTTATGAATCAACGAAATCGATTGGATTTCTTAAAATTGACTCATTCCTTACATAGTGATGTTTTGGAAAATAAAACTAGTGATGCTAATTTTGGAACAAAATCAATTTTTGTGGTAGTTTTGGAACTATAGTGGTGTTAATTTTGGAATAAAACTTATTTTGTGGTATTTTTGAACTAAAAACTTTATTGATGGCTGATTACCAGAACAGCCTAATCCAAAACTAACATACTTTTCGTTTTATGATTTCCGATTCACAAATTTATGATTTCTGAAACCAGTAAACCAAAACCAAAAGGTAGCACAATGAAGACGCGTAAAAAAACAAACAATCTCCTACTGATCTTCTACTCACAGAATCTGATGCTTTCTTTTTCATTAAAAAAAACAGGCAACAAAGGAGATGTGGACGAATGAAATATTACAAAACACAAGAGGTTTATCCAGTTCCAGGTGACTTTTCCAGATCAAGACTGGGTTTCCACAACAGGGACTGGGTCTGGAGCACGCCCATGAACCCTGAACCGGTATATGCAAGTATGGGAGTTGCTTCCGTGGTTGGAGGTGAAGTCTAGCCTGACAGTATCGACCAGAGCAGAGCGTGATGCGTCTAAGATGTTGAATGTCTGTGCGTTCGACCTCTCTAGGTCGTACGTGAACTCTGTCAGAAGAAGTTCCACACTCTCTGTCTCAGCTGAAGATTCCTGTCCTTTCCCTTGAAGCCGTCCTGATACACGACAATCTTTTGGAGCACTTGATCTGTCGTAAGCTACGCTCTGTTCATTTTCACGAATCCATCAGGTCAGTGTATATATATCAAAGGTTGACCCAAAACTAAGTAATGAGCTTATTTGGTTATTCATCTCCCTTTGTTTCAACCACAAATAGCATAGTCAAATGCAAATAGAAACAGAAGATAACACAAAACACATCAAAAAATCCATTTATGCAGACTATTGAACTCTTTAACAAAGTATGATGAAACCCACTTGATGATGGAAAAAGAAACTTATTAAGGGACCTCGAGGCTACTACAGAGCAGATTTTTGCAGGCACTGACCTTATCTAAACCCTGAGGCTAAACCAAACAATATCATAGATTTTTTACCTTGCCTCTACCGTCACAAAGAAAAATCCATCATTTTTACCAGGCATCTCAACATTAAACCAAAACCATTACTTCTAATGAGCATACAAGAAGAAAGCTGATGCTAATATATAACTCTTTTGCAGTGAAAGTAGAATTACCTTAGCTACATGTTCCAATGTGAAAGCCTCTGGTACGATTGGTCCTCTCAGCCTGATTTCAACAAAGCCACTGCTACCTTTCAGAGGAAAACACTGTCCAGGCTCCCCAAAACTCGGAGATAACATCTTGACCGCATTGGTATGAGCACGTCGACTGCTTGACGCAAACCAGTTACTCCCTTTTCCAACAAGATAAGGATCTGAATGCTGCCTCACAAACGCACCACCAGACGCCGATGCGTAGTCTACTCGGCCAAGGCCATCCGCCGCATGCTTTTCAATCTCTTTCTCCATGACCTCACGAGCATATGCCCTCAATTCATCGATGCTAACCTCGCTAAACGCAGAATCATCAACCTTACCTTTCTTCAGTTCCTCATAAATCCTCTCTAACTCATCTTTAGACACCCAAGGTTTAGCATTTACTTCTTCTACTGACTTCTCTAGTGACTCGGTCCTAGACTCTATCTTCTTCAACTCGCTCTGGAACGCAGAAGATTTGCTCTCGAATTCTTGCCTCAGCGCTCTCGCTTCCCTCTCCATCTTCTTATCAAGTAATTCAACTTGAACCTGCATCGTACTCGTCGTGGCCTTTACAAGACCATCTACTTCTGCGATTCGACTCTCCAATCCCGAAAACGCCATCTCCGTTTCAAATGAAGAAGAAATCGGAGAGGACTGAGGCGCAATTTTCAGAATTACCTTTCTTGTGACCTGAATTAATCCAACAATGATCAGAAGAGCCGCAAGCTGCTTGGCGAATATCCTCACGACTCTCTTCCATCGCGCTTTCTCGGTCTTTGGAGTCGCGGCTTTCCGCGTCCGGCGCTGCGTGGCGGTTGTGTTGGTCCCCGTCGCGGCGGAACCAGACCTTCTCGTCACCGTACCCAAGTCGTTGACGTGAGATCGATCAACGACAGCCTCGGCGCGGATCGGATCCCTGCTCGTACCACCGGCTTCACCGACGCCGCCGTTAAGCGATTCGCTTGGCGGGTAATCAAAGTTGGATTTCTTCTCTCCGGCAAGAACCGGCGTCCGCCTAGAAGCCGCCGTCGGAGTCGCGGTCATCGACATCGTTGATGCCGACATTTAACCTGGGATTGACTATACAATCGCACCGCCTTGAGATTTGAGAAGCAAATGTTTTGAGAAAAATGTCGAAATCAAAAACCCTGATTTCAGTACAGAGAAGTTGAAAAAATCCGTAAACTTGTTTGAAATTGAAGAAGAAGCAACGATGTCTCTGCAAATTCAATTTCAAAAACTCCGAACCGTCTTCTCCGTTTGCCTAATTCCTTCTGACGTCGTTTCCTCTCTAATTTATTAATGTTCCAAATTTTACTTTTTTTCTTTAATATATAGATTATTTCAAAATTTGCATCGCGTCAAAGATAACCGCTGCGGTTACTTTACCATTTATGGAATCGCATTTTGGTTATCTCTTCTTCGTAATCATTTCTTCATGAAAGAGATCTTAGTTACGGGATTATCTCCTCTGCGGATATGATTCATAAAGAGTTAATTACGAGTTTGCAAAAAGAAAACGTAAGACATAAAAAGCTCCCCGTAGGTTTGTAAAATCTGTGAACTCACGTTTCTCCGGTTATCAGAATTTAACTACAGAAAATCTCTTGAGGCAAACAAACAAACAAAAACAAAACGCGTGTGTTAAGACCTTCGACTTGCTGAACCGGAGTCCCGCATCTCCCACGCCGGTTTACTTTCTCTAGCAACATCCGACTTGATTGCTCGAACCAATGGCTTCATGAGCAACAGGTACTGCAAATTCAAACCATGAACAAGATGAATCATGAGACCACGCAAGAGTCCCTTTTCTGTAGTTTGTGTATACATGTATCTTCAGCTTAAACGGTATTGTTACTTAAATGATTCAGAGAGACTTACTTGGAATGCAAAGATTAAAGGAATTAGTTTTTTTCCTCTTTCGTTTGGGTTTGGCCCTTCGACAAGTTTCTTGTCAACGTGTATAGACTTGTTGCCATTGAAAGAGATCTCTGTGATCGTCTTCACCAGACTAGGAATCCAACTTGTTCCGTCTGGAAGAATCTGTCACAGGTTTGGAAAATTCCGAGCTCAAGATTCGGTCAACTTAGCCGATGCAGAAAAATCGACAACATGGGAGAAAGAAACAAATCAACTGACCTTTTCATCGCTTTCATTCTTATGACATCTTCCACTGTTCTCAACAAGTATGACTGGAATAGATGAACTCTGCAACAAAAGATTCAGAGGTTAATGGAATCATATTAACATGACTATTACCAAAGTAGTTACGGAGATTTATGTGCGGAGGATCTAATCTATTAACCTGCAGATCCTGCTTCTTCAGTTGAGCGCCTGCACGGATAACTTTCAGTAGAGCATCGGATCTTCTAGAGACAAACAGATCGTAGTTTAACCCGTCCGGCGGAGAGAACTGAGCATGGGAGAGGACAAGAGCAGACTTCTTCCATATCTCTTTACCAAATGCATCGGTTATAGCATTCACAACTTGCCTATCTAAGTCATCAACCCGATATACATCCAACCGGTCTACATACAGTAGCACATCTATAGTCTTGTTGAGGAGAAATCTGTTCATATTCAAAGCCGACCAATCCAAATTACCACTTGAAACAAATGAGCCCTAAACTAGGAGAAAAAAACTGTTAAAGCTGGAAACAGTTCAACATACCCTTTGATAAGGTTGACAGCTTGATCATTCACATATCCTCCCTCAATAAGACCAGGAGTGTCGATGATATTAAACGTAAACCCCGACCTTGAGCGAGAGACCAAGGTTGGCCTCAGTCCTTCAGACTATTAAGAAGGAAACCAACACACTTTAACATAAGAAAATATACAGGAAATTTAGCAAATGGCGTTCACAACTCACAAGAGCAGCGTGAAATAAAGCATTAAACTTGGCACCTGGAAAGTACTAACTGCAGCAGCTTTCTCGCCGATAACTGAATTCACAGTGGATGACTTCCCAACACCACCTTTTCCCATTACAAGTACAGTTAACGAGCTCACATCCTACACCATCATTTATTGTTCTTCCATATTAGAGACTAAAACCAGATAGCCATGAAACAAGAAACAAGTAGAAAGAGGATAAAGCTAGAAACAAGAAAAGCACCTCTTCTTTAAACTTCCCAAGGATCTCCAGCAATTTAGACTGAGTAGCAGGTGGGAACTGCTGGATACCGATCCATTCACGAGACATTTGCATAGCTGCCATCAACACTGCGAGGAAAGTAAAAAGAGAGTAGAATCATCAGCTAATCTAAACAATCAGGAGACCAAAGAGCAGAAATGCGTAATCTCACATACAAGCAAAACCGGTCTGGTTCCACTACCAAAATCAATCCTGTGACTTTCTATCAAGTGAAATCTCTGGAAACCATAATTTTAGATGATTTTGAATACTAACAACACTTGAACTTTATCTGGATTTTCTCGACCTTTTACACGAATATAATCTCATTGCTCTGATAACGACATGGCGTCAGTGGTCATACCAAGAACTAATAACTTAAGCACTGATTAAGTTTCACTAATCGAGTATTGAGAAATCCTGAACTTGGGTCAAGAGTCGACACATCAAATGAGCATACTTCAAAGTGATACCGGAGAGAGCGACGCAGATAAAAGAAAGAGATGAAAGAGTAACCTGCCGGAGTGGCGGATATTCGTCGACGGATTCGCTGACCTCGAATCAAATTAAAACCCTAGAAATGAGAAAAATTGACTTTTGAAGATGATTGATTGCTACAAATCCTAGTACAGAGAGTAAGTAGTACCGTACATCCCTTTCGAGTTTCAACCGGACTAAACCGAACGTCGGTCTTCTTCACCAGAGAGTACCCCATGCAATTACGAATTTGCCCTTGCAGCTTTAAAATGATACGATTGGTCGGATGATGAAAGGCCTAATAAAGAGCCGAAACGGACGGCCCAATATAATATAAGTCGACCCGTTTTGTGGATCATCATCTTCTCTAACACACTAGATTTAATCTCAAACTCCTTTTTTTTTTTACTCAGCGAGCTTCTTCTGAAGAACTGGTGATTCATCCCCATTGATCAGTCCCTGGTATCGTTTTCTTCTCTTGCTCTGCGCCTTTCAATTCATGTAATTTGGATCTCATTCGTAGCAATGTTCTTCTCTGGCGGCATTTCTGTGAATTTTTTTCGGATCTCCATTTAGGAATTTTCTCGTTCTTCTAAATAAGCCTGTGCGATCTGGTTTCTTTGGCTTTCCTGAATATTACCCGCTTGTTGATTTTGATTCTACAGTTATGTTTTTCGATTCTGTGCCTCTGTTGCTCGTAGATCCGATCCGTTGGATCTGCGAGATTCTTTCGAATTCATTTTGTTTTCAATTCGTTAGCCGATTCCTTTACTGGGTTTTGTTTGGTTTCGTGTATAATTTCGCTACCAGATGCGAGATCTCTTCACTTCTACGTGATTTATGATTCCGAAGATCAAATCTCGTTTGTTCTGTTTGATCTCGTGGTTGAGTTTTCGTCACTCTGGATATCGCACTAACTCGATTTACTCTGCCCTTTGTTTTTTATATTTCAGATTAACATTGCCGTTCTTATAGCTGCGAGGATTGTTGGAACCTGAAAAGCAAATCAAAATGGTACTGAGTTCTATTTTATGATTTGTATCTTTCTGGTGTTTTGTGCAGCTTGTTGGTGTTAGAGTTTTAGCGTTAGATCAGTTTTCTAGCCTGATTAGTGGCACCTTTCTGAAGCTGTAGCTTGTGGTTTGTGGTTTGTAGGTCGTACTTGCTGCTTCTATTGTGAACAAGTCTGGAAAAGGTGAATGCTTCAGATGTCAATTCACGGCTTTATATATAGATTTATGTTTTCATTGATAATCAAACAGTTTGAGTTTTCCCTGACTTTATTCTTTTATATATAGTGCTTGTTACCAGGCAATATGTGGATATGTCCCGTATCAGAATTGAAGGTCTACTTGCAGCTTTTCCTAAGCTGGTTGGTATGGGCAAGCAGCATACCTATATTGAGACAGAGAATGTGCGATATGTGTATCAGCCTATTGAAGCTCTGTTCCTGCTCCTTGTTACAACTAAGCAGAGCAACATTCTTGAAGATCTTGACACCCTCAGGATGCTCTCCAAACTTGTATGCTTCGTTCTTCTTCTTTTCTTTTTGTTCTATTCGGCTACTTTACTCATTTCCTTCAATCTGCATGTGTCAAGGTTCTTAATTATTTTGAAAATGACTGTTTTTGGCATATTATCTTCGTTGAAGCCTGGCAGCTCTTATTTTTCTTCAACTCTTTTCTTCATTTGAGGAAATTAACATTTCAAATAATTTCATTTGAACGTTTCTAGGTACCTGAATATTCCATGTCTTTAGATGAAGATGGGATTGTCAATGCTGTGTTTGAGCTTATATTCGCTTTTGATGAAGTCATATCTCTTGGGCACAAGGAAAGTGTGACAGTTGCCCAGGTGAAGCAGTACTGTGAAATGGAAAGTCATGAGGAGAAGTTACACAAACTGGTAATGCAGAGCAAGATTAATGACACTAAAGACGTGATGAAGCGTAAGGCTAATGAGATTGACAAAAGCAAGGTACATGACAGGAGCGCCCCCCCCCCCCCCCCCCTGCTTTTTTTTTGTTGTTATTTTGTAACTCATATTAATATTTCTTATGCAATTCCCAGATTGAAAAGACTAGAGGTGATCTGAAGGGAGGATTCTCGTCTATGAGTTCACTGGGATCTGCAAGACTTGACAATAGTTATAATGACTTGAGCATGCCTGGTGGCAGAGGTTTTGGAAGTGGTTCCGACTTTAGCATGATTTCAGATGCCGAGCCCATCAATACCAAGGCGAAAGGTTAGTGTGATTTGACTATTGGATCCTTCACAGCTGACCCTTTTAGTCCTGGGTATTTGATTTGACCATGCTTTAATCTCACAGATCGATCACGGTCTTCAGTTACTGCTCCTCTAAAGAGCATTGGGATGAAACTTGGCAAGACGGGAAAGAACCAGTTAATGGAGTCCCTTAAAGCAGAAGGTGAAGACATCATTGAAGATGTTAAGCCAACTGGCCAAACCAGAGCATCTGCCCCACCTCCAACTGATCCTTTCACATTAACTGTCGAGGAGAAGCTCAATGTCGCACTGAAACGAGAAGGTGGTATCAGTAGCTTTGATATGCAGGGGACCCTGTCGCTTCAAATTCTTAACCAAGAAGATGGATTCGTCCAAGTTCAGGTACTCCAACTTTCTTTGTTAAAAGTTTCCAAGAGTCTTGAATACATACATCAGTTTTTCAAAACTTTGTACTTTTTGTCTTCAGATTGAAACCGGTGGAAATCCTGAAATTCTCTTCAAGACCCATCCCAACATCAACAGAGAACTCTTCAACAGTGAGAGTATTCTAGGGCTGAAGAGACCTGATCAGCCATTTCCCACTGGTCAAGGTGGAGATGGTGTTGGTCTTCTGAGGTGGAGAATGCAAAGAGCAGACGAGTCTATGGTGCCACTGACAAGTAAGTCTTTGGAGATTGGCTTTGTCTGTTTTTGACACACAGGTTTACACATAAATGTTTGAACTATTGATGCAAATCTCTTTTGTGTGGTGCAGTCAACTGCTGGCCTTCACCCTCTGGAGGCGACATATATGTGAGCCTCGAGTACGAAGCCTCGTCCATGTTTGATCTGACAAACGTCATCATCTCCGTACCTCTTCCTGCTCTGAGAGATGCACCAAACGTTAAGCAATGTGATGGAGACTGGAGGTTTGAAAATTTAATTTTTCTCTCTGTGTCATCTCTTTTTCTTTTGTTTAAGATGAAACTCAAGAAATCTTTGTGAACAATAATATCACAGGTACGACTCAAGAAATTCTGTACTGGAATGGTCTATACTTCTTATCGACAACTCCAACCGCAGGTAAACACACGATGACAACATCTGTTATATTACTGCATTATTTGCCAATATATATACATAATAGTACATGAAAATCTTGTGCAGTGGATCAATGGAGTTTGCTGTGCCATCAGTTGATTCATCGGTGTTCTTCCCAATCTCTGTTCAGTTTGCAGCAACCAGTACATACAGTGGCTTGAAGGTATGAATCTTGTTCCTCCTCTAAACTCCGTTATAATTGGTAAAAAAAGAAAAAATGCTTATGAGAGGCGTCGGTGCAGGTGAACGGAATGATTCCTCTGAGAGGCGATGGTGGTGCCACTCCAAGGTTTGTGCAGAGGACGCAGCTGGTTGCACAGAATTACCAAGTCATTTGAGAAGTCTCTCTCCCTATGGAGCCTTTTTTTTTTGTTTCTTAATAATTAAATTGTTTCTATACTCCTATTCTGGTCTTTTGGTTTTTCTCTCATGTTTGTATGCCAAAAAGTTGAATCTTTAATTTTCCGGGATTTTGCTAGTTTCTTGATCGACTCTACTTCTAAGACAGTATACATACATATTATTATCCTTGTTTCTTGCTCGACTTGCTTTGTCAAATCTTAACGACATTTTCTATACTCCAGAATTTCGCTTTCTACTTCTTTCTCAGTTTACCCATATAAAATTTATCGCCATTTGCCAAAACTCAAGATTACATGAAAATTGGAGGATCTGACAATTATCCAATGAAAACCCCTTTTACGGATTTTGTATTAATCGGAATAGACTTGAATTGACCGGTTCACGTAGAAATGAGGGACTTTCTGTCAATTAAAGGTGACTCCAATTTTATACCTTTTGACATTATTTATTGACCAGTAAAGAAGTAAGGACATATAAAGTGAAGCTACATGCCATTTCTCTTCACATTGTTGAAACTTTCTGGTAATAATCTCTTCACATTTGTATTAGCATCCTGCCTGATATCTGCAGATTCTTTCACCAAATCGAAAGACGATAACGAGTGCGGTGGAAGAACAACCGTGAGATCATCCTCAGGCATCTCCAGCAAGCTTTCTTGCGGCACAATCTTCCAGAAACAAAAAAAAAAACCTTGACTTAGAAACGTTTTCAAAATGCAGAAGAGGAAAGTAAATCATGTCTGATTGTTTCTTCATCTGTTATTAATTATTACCATCTCTGGGTTTGACAAGGAATTCTCATCCATCACATTGGCAGATGTAAGTACTTTCTTCTTGGATCCAGAAACTTTTGTGATGCTCGTGTCCAATCCGGTCAACGACAACTTCAGGTTCACTGATTCATTCCCAAAGTTTACAGCCTGCAGATATAGATGTGGATCAACTTTAGTCAGAAGCAGAATTCATACAATATTGGGTCAGGAAGAGTGTTACAAGCGTGTTGCAACCTTAATCTGTATGTAATCTGAGCCATTGGCGTGGAAGGATATAGCAGATGCTTCAACAAGATAAGAAGAAGAATCTCCGCTGAGTGTAGAGTTGAGAAGAGTGGCTCCACTTGACTCTGTGAAGAACTGTTGGACCCAATAGCTAGGTGTTCCATACAAATGAGAGGAATTGAAAACTATTGCATCCGGATTCCACCTGAAAAACAAAAGACATGGCAACGTCTTGATTTATGATCCAACCATTCAAAAGAAAACGAAAATGTAACTTGAGAGAGACAGAGAGATAGATACCTTCTGTCGTTTGTGTTGACGAAGAGAGGTGCATAACTTACCATTCCTACAATGTCACTGCAACAAAAACAAAGGCAGTAACTGTATGAACATTTTGCTCTGTTTCTGTGATCCAAACCGGAGAAGAAGAAAACGTTGTTCAAATTTGAAGAGAAACCTGTTCTTTTCCAAACCAAGGAGGAAACCTGCTTCCCCAAGAGCAGCTAGAAGGTTTCCAGTATTAGCGTCAGTACTGTTTACAGCATATTCACTGACAAAAGCCTACGATCCAAAGGCAAGAATGTTGAAACCTTCATCATTAACTAGAAGAAGATATAAATAAATGGCAAAGAGTCGGAAAATGAAATATTTGAATTTATATCATTTACTACCGCACCTTGGGACCAACGCGCGATGTGTTGTCAAAGTTGTGGGACATTTTAAACAAGTCCATTGCAAGAGTGTAAATCTGGAACAAAAAAAAGGAGATCATAATTTGACAAAGATCAATGACTTGCATAACAAGACACAGTTTTCATCCAATTTTTAAAAGTGTTTTTAGTTGCCGTACGTGATAATCATAGTAATCAGCAGGGTGATCTAGCGGCTCAGACGATCCATCACAGTTAGAGATGATTTTGATGTCCGGGTAGGCATTTTTTATAGCATTATAGAACTCAAGATAGTTTCCTGAAAGAAAAAACAAGAGTTGTGTATCAAAAGATTCAAAATTAGTGTAATTTTGTTTCTTTTAAAATGGGTCATTGTGATAGAGAGAAATGCAAAAACCTCTGTAGTATGGCTTGTGATCGTTATCACAATCTTCATTCCCGACCGCAACATACTTCAGTTCAAAAGGCTCTGGATGTCCCATTGCAGCTCGAACCGATCCCCATCTAGAATTAGAATCGCCACGAGCAAACTCAATCCCATCAAGCGCTTCCTGAAACCGCACAAGAAAAATTGAAACTATTAGTTTTGTCTCTGTCTCACTAATGAAGAACCACACTCACTCCGTTTAACCAAAACAGAGAGTTTTTTTTTGGGATAAAAACCGAAAACAGAGAGTTGCATGAGAAATACTTGAACAAAGGGCATGACACTTGCTGTTTCAACGTGATCCTTGTGGCTGATTCCTGAAACAATTACACAGAGGTAAATCCATGAATGAATACATGTAGTGAAAGCAAAGTCTTAAGATGTATGTAGGTTAACTTGAGAATTACCATTGTTAAACACCCATATTGGGGCTGCACCGAGATCTTCAGCCAGCTGCAAGAATGTTTGTTTGGCATTTGAGTATTTGAACTAAAAGGGAATAATTCAAACACATACATATGGTTTACAGATCGAAAGAAAGAAATGTCTTACTTGAAAGAATTCAAAGTGGCCAAGACCATCATCAGTCCAGTAATTCCAAACATCACTAAAATGGCCAGGTCTCTCTTCCCAAGCTCCCACCGTTTCTTTCCACCGGAATGCGTTCCGTAGCCATTCACCCTCCACAAAACAACCACCTAACTCCAAAGTATATTGATTAGTCTTTTAGCTTCATTTATTTCATCTTAAGCTCATATTATACCAAGATAACTATAAGATGAAGTGAAATGGTATTTTGCTGTTCTGAGATTACCAGGAAAACGGATGAAACGGGGTTTTAGATTGACCATCATTTGTAGAAGATCCTTTCTGAAACCATGTCCCTGTGACCAACCAAGAAAACCAAAAACTGAAAATTTGAAATTTATCTGTTTATATTACTCCACATTTATAGTAGGCCATTTCTCAAAGAATTAAACAAACCTTGTAAGTATCAACAGGCATGACTGAGACTTGATCAAACCAAATAGAACTCTTTTTGGTGGTTGTCAATTGAAGTCTTGCACCATGATCTGTTCCATTTGCCTCCAAAGGAACTTCCTTTTTAGTCCAGTTTGAAACATCAGAAGCCAAAGCTCTGCAAGAATTCAAATCCATAAACAACCAGTTTTGAAGAAATCACTGAAATATATAAGAGAAACTGAGAGTTTTTTTAATCTCTAACATGATCTTTTCTGAAGCAAGAGTCAGTAGTCCATCCGAACTCGTCAATGACACAGACAAATCAATGTCCGCTGTCGAACGCACATAAAGGGCCACTTTGTATTTCTTCCCTTCTTCAATGTTCTAATGGAAAACATCATAAGAGTGAAACTCAATATTTTAACTATTAGATGAAACGTAGAAATGAAACTGAGAGTATGAAAAGGTACCATTCCCCAGTAACCAGGGTTATAAACTCCGACTCCTTCTGATGGACAAACATTGCTACTGCCATTGCTGTTACAGAGCACTTCCATTCTAAGTGCAATTTTGTTGCGCTCAAAACATGAAGAACGGTCTGTCACTACATAAACGGATGATTCATCTCCAATAATGGACCAAGGCCATATATTTGAAGGAATGTTTTGTCCACCAGCTTCAAACCCTGGAACCAAAAGATTGTTAACTAAAGAGTTTAATTTTTATTTATCAATCAATCACACCATTCTGTTTTCATGAATATGAAATAAAAGTTTAAAAGCCAAACAAAACCTCTGTTGCTAACAAGTTCAGCCCACAGTCCACCTGCTCCAGCATGATTTATTTCCTGTCAATAATCGCATCAGATTCAGTTTTCTTGTCAAGAGCTAAATGGAAACATTAAACATCAAGAAGGGTAAGTCCAAGATCCATTAAGCCAAGAAATTGTACAAGACCTCAAAGAAGATTCCGAAAAGGGTCTCGGGAATGGGTCGTCCTGAGGCATTAGAAGCATCTACTTGCAGTGTCACTTCCGGTTTATTGGCGTTTTCTCGAGCATCAACAACACAAAGGCTTTGGTAGGAAGAACAAGAGCCAAGGAGAAATGAGACTATGAAAACACTTGTGAGAAACTTCCAACAAGACTTCATGTCCATCATCAACACAGCCGATTAAAGCAAATACCTTAGTAGAGACAATTTATAGGAAAAGAGAAAACATTATTTAGGTCCAATTTCACAAAATTTGGGGGTAAAATCAAACATAAAATTATCAAAAACCTGACAGACGGGACACTATTACACTGAGTACAGCATTGTACAAAGCAAAAGTTTTTCCATTTTCAAGATTTCGGACACTATGACAAATGTAATCAGGAAAGAAGAATATGTTCCACTTTAAAGATTCTTTCAAATGCAAAGTTAAGAAAAAGAAGAAACAAAAGTGACAGAAAATGACGATAACAGAGCCGAGTAACGGTTACAGAAAGCAAAAAGAAACTACAAAATTTCAAGATCAAGAGAAGAACACAAAAGACCTAATATGCAAGAAACAAAGATGAAACGTGGAGTCAACGAAAGAGGTACCGTTGATTGAAGAAAGTCACAAAATGTATAAGAAACAGAGAGAAAAGTAAAACGAGGATTATATAAGTTATAAAATAATACTACGGGGATGTGTTTTTTGCTTGTTTTTTAGGCAAAATCGGCAAAAGACTTTTGCGTTCACGTCTCTTTTAATTTTCTTATTTTCATGCAAGAGTGGAAGTTGGTTAGAACTAAGAAGTGATGGTGAAATTCAAATTTATCGTCTATTTTGTGTTTTTTCTCCTTTTAGATTGCTTTAATTTATTTTTAGTTGAAAAACAAAATAATATTTGAATGATTTATCACTTATGTCCTTTGAGATTGCTCGCTTCATATATCAGTAACATGACAATAATAAATAAATAATCAAAATGAAATTCAAAAGAGATCATTCAGAATCTTAGGACATTAAGACTAGTAAACCGAATTTAAACCTTACAAGTTATATGCAGCAGGATTACATAGAATGAGAAGGTGGATCACAAAATAGCTTACTGAGACAACAACTTAATCTCTAAAATTCAACAAGATGGTTTAGGCCTGCAAGAGATCACTCTAATATCTCTAGGCAAGTACCGAACCACTGCATGGAAAGGCTTTGTCTGATTACCATCTGACGAATCAAGGGCTTCGAATGTGATGTAGAGCGTGATTGCAGCTGATGGGTGGAAATTTGCTCTCAAAACATTGACCAATTCGAGGCTTATACCCTACCACCACCATAACCAATTATAAGAGATTCATCAACAAACAGAGCCAAGAAAAAGAAAAAAAGTCTCACTCTTTCTTTAATTTACTAACCGTGTTTTCTTTGTAGTAAGAGATAGACTTCTCCGTCAACCTGGTGAGCAAGTTTCTGTTGGTGTCGTGCTCAGGAACCAGGTCATTGTCATCCAGATCCACAGCTCCGGCACCGAATGTGAAACGGAGTTTCGAGAAGTCGACATCAAAATCCTGATAATTCCAATCATCAAAAACCATTAGCCATCAACCAAAATTAATTCATCAATTAGACAAAAGACAAAGAGAAATCGGTCGAAAGCCCTAACCCCGCTCTTTCGCCATTCTTCGTCAAACCGCTCAAGATCTTCATCCTCTGGCTCGGGACTCTCTGAACTTATCGCTTCCGTTGTGTTCTGCAAGATCAAATTATCAAAAACTAGTCCATCGGCCTTTTTGGATCAGAGAAGAGAAAATCGATCGAGAATCAAAGATCATCTGACAAATCTACCTTTGACTCAGTTTCATTGCTTGATGGTTCCTCCTGTTTCAGACGCTTAGGAGAAGGAGGCTCGGATCCGTCCCTTGCAATCGCTGTGACCATCGCTGATTCGGGTTGGGGATTTTTTTTTTTACAAAAAAAACCCTAGCTTTCTTATTGCTGTGCTTAATATATATTAGGAATTGGAGGGATTATGTAGAAAAATAATATATCGTGTAGCCGTTCTGTCTTTAAGGGTCTGATTGGTTTAACCGTTGCGGTTGCGGTTGCGGGTGCGGGAGTTTGCGGAAGCGGGCGGTTGTGATTAGTAGCGTTATTAAGCGGTTTGAACGACTGGCATAACAATTGAAAATTGATGCGTTTGCGGGTTACTTATGACTGGTTCACTTGCGGATGCAATAGCGGTTAAACAATAAATTAATAATGTAAACACATTATATAATTATAAAAAATCAAAACTATATTATAATGAAAATTTTAAAATTTATGGTTCAACATAATAAAAAATATATATAAAGAATAATATGTATATAATACTTACATCTATCTTTTAATTTCTATAATTTAAATAAAAAAATGTGATTTTAATTTCAAAATATATATTTAATGTGAAATTTAAATTTATATTACAATTTTATTTATTAGATATATATGTATTAGTATGAAAGAATATTTATCATGAGAATTTTGATTTGTAGAGCTTATAAATATATAAGTATTATATGATTTTAATGAATATTGACTAAAAGTACTAATTTTTTATTTATATTGTGATTTTATTATCCAAATCTTATTTTTTAATAAATATTATTATTTATTTTCGGATTTTATATAAGTTTGTGTTTTTTTTTTTTTTTTTAGTTATCCATGACGGTACCTTCCATCAAGAAGGTCCTATCCATCGTCTGGCAAAGAGAACCCACAAGAAAAAAAGAAGGGCTGAGCGTATATAATAAAATAGAGTGAAAGGGTCCACCCCGAAACCAAGGGGATACTAACTAATAGCTGAGTCCTCTCCAAACCGCACGGTAGTTCAACAGGCAGAGGACAGCTTACGGAACTTTTATCCATGACTTGGAGTTGACCTCGGTTAACAATCTTCTGAACCTTTCTTATCGCCTAACAAAGAACCGCAACCGCGCAAACGCTTGCGGAAAAGAGTTTTTGATTTTCAGCGGTATTGAGCGGTACAGAGTGGTATAGAGCGATTCAAAGCGGTTGCCGTGATTGTTATAAACCGCCAAAAACCGCTATGAACCGCAAACGTTGCGTTTGCGGGTGGTAGCAGAATATATAAATCGGTCCATGTTTTTTACATAATGTGCAAGAAAATATCGATATGTATATCCATTTGTATTTTGTAAGGAAGGCGGCAGATAGTGTACAGCTAGTGTCGTACTCGTAAGTCGTAACTCGTAAGTAACACATTTGCAAAAAGAAACCAGAAATGGTACATAAAATATTGCGATATAACACACGCACACACACACACACAAAAAAAAAACTCGATAACCAATTTCGGTTATAGTGGACCGGTGTTAGTCACATTCAAAATCAAGCTATTAAGAGACCCAGACTATAAGTTGAAGTAATCATTTATTTGGAATTCTAATCTCATGTATTGTTCAAAAACTCTACATCTATATTCTGTAAGGCTCTAACGCAACCACACAGACTAGAAGTTGGAGTAATCATTTATTTTGGAATTCTAATCTCAAATATTGTCCAAACTCTACATCTATAAGACTCTAATGCAACCACTATTAAGCAGTCTCAAACTGAAGTGAAACATATATTTGGCAATGCATAATCACAAACCTCGTAGAATCAAGAGCATGGGTTCAATACCTTCCCATGACACCCCATTTATACTTTTGCTTAATTAGATAGTGTTTGTTTAGGTAAACTTTATTTAAATGGGCCGCCCCATGCAAAAGACCCATTATGCAATAAACAAAGATGAAACGTCGAACCGCTGCGGATTAATTTGATTAAGAGGTAATAATTACTACGATGATGTGTTTTCTTGCTTGTTTAATAGGCAAAATTGGCAAAAGACTTTTGCTTCCACGTCTCTTTTAATTTCCTCATTTTCATGCAAGAGTGGAAGTTTGTTAGAAGAGATGACTAGTGAAATTATCAATTTATCGTCCACTTTTGTGTTCTTATCTTTTTTTGGATTAACTTAATTCATTCATCCAAATCAAAGGGATCGAAAAAGCTCTGGATACTTTCCTCATAATGATATGGTTATTTTCTTTTCAAACTTTGAATTTGGTCATCAATTTCAACATTATTTATTCCTATATTAGATAGGATCAAACAAATCAAGTTCAGGCAGTGGGCCCTACAGAGATCAATGCTATACCAATATATGAATTATGAAGATTGGCTACTGCTGATGATCGAGTCATGTACACATACTTTTAGTCAACTCTTTCAAAATATTTCTAAGGCGTTTCATGGCCTTAGTTAGTTTTAGCTTTCAATCTACTTAAACCTTAAAAAAAAAATCATCCAAAAACCGTCCTATTATCCTATATATTATCTACACACGGACAAACACTATTCATTTTAGTCAACAAAAGTTTTATGTGGCAAACAGTTTGTGTCGTTACCAACCTCCGCTAGAATCAAATAGACCAGAATCTTACATGTTTCATTTATTTCAGTTTAACCCTGATACTTTAATATATTTGCAGACCTCAAACAAAACCGCCTGGACTACTAGTGGACGAAGGCAGGAAACCATAATGGCGAGCGATATGGACGTATTTATCTCATTTTTGCAATAAAAATATTTCGCTTTTGTTTACATAATTGATAATTCAAACGAAACCGTGTCTAGGTTAGTGGATGAAACGATTTGACAACAATCGCCATGTGAACGTTCATATAACCAAATTCCAAAAAAGAAAACTACTAGTGGACCATACCAATTAGATCGGATGTGGAAAACACTTTATCAGACGACATTAAATTTGTTAATTTGATATAGAAGTAATACTCCCGGATTAGTAAATAGCAGCAATTAATAATGAAGCAAGGGGGAAAAATGGGGTCCTACTGAAAAGACCCAAAATGAATATTAGTTATCTTATTTTCTTCCTATCCTTTGTTCCCAAGTTTTACTTTTGTGACTACCGTCGAAAATGACCCTCTTTAGTCTTTTCTGCACATTTGAAAAGTTAAGGTCATTTCGGTCTTGCAGCAGTCGAGAATAAGAGCATTGGTAAGTGAGTATTGATGTTCATGTTTGATTAAACTCCATCCTAAAGCCATGTTTGATTAAACTCCAGTCCAGATTTTAAGTCATCAACTAATTTTTTGTTTTAAACCGAATAATCCTTATAACTCTTTAATTAACACAACCGAATAACCCTCTTCTTCTTCTTTTTTTATAACAGCAAACTTAAGAAAACCTCTTTTTATAAAAAAAAAAAAGGAGCTTAAAAAACCCTCTTATAAAAAAAACGTAAGCATAAATTCGTTAAAATAAATAAATGAAATCTGTTTATTTTATTTACATGAGAGAGTTTTCGTTTCTTAAAAAGGTTTGGAATTAAAAACGGAATATTGTTGACCTAAAACAAAAAAAATACGGAAAAGAAAAATTGTGTTGACGAAATTAGATGGTCCTTAATATGTTTGTCTTCTCTTACTTGAAAAACTTCTACTGCTAATTAATAAATCGAATTGTCATACAACACGTATGTTTTTTGTTTTGTTGTGCGCAATGTAAAGCGTACCAAATACATATTAAATTAAATATTTCTTAATCATCCCAAGCCCTAATCACTAAACAAGTACCAACCTTAACGACTAATATATGTGTGTCGTGGACCCACACAAACCGTACGGACATTATGCTTGGAGGATCACAAACTTTGACTTTTTGACATTTTAACAGGTTATCATAGTCACCATGAAATAATAAAAAAGTGATTTTTACAACACTACGAATACTTATGCAAAGATATTTTTTAGCAATTAAAAACTACTCATTTACTCTGAGTAAACTGAGAGCAAATACGAAACTTATGCAAAAGATATAGGATAATCACAATAATTTTTAAAAATATAAAAGACTATAATATGAGTCGTTTTCGCTCTCAATCCCAAAATTTAATTAATCAGAGTAAAGGAGGGGAAAGCGGGTCCCACCAGGGAGACCCAAAAGGAATATTTGTAGTCAATTTTCTTCCAATCCTCGTTCCAAAGTTTTATTTGTTGTTTGTTTCCGTTGCAAAAACCCGAAAATGACCCTTTCTCTCTGCACATTTGAAATGTAGGGAACCTTTTCCGTTCATTTTGGAACGTATAAAAGACAAAATAATATAATTATCAAGAATGTAATAAAATTATTAAATAGAATTCTGAAGTAGCTATGCAGTTAAATAATATATGCCAAAAGAAAAATTATTCAAACCTTCCTCATAATGATATGGTTGTTTTCTTTTCAAACGTTGAATTTGGTCATCATCAATTTCAACATATTCATTCCTATATTAGATAAGATAAAACAAATCAAGTTCGGGTAGTGTGGCCCTACAGAGATCAATGCTGTGCTAATATATGAATTATGAAGATTGGCTACTGCTGATGATCGAGTCATGTACACATACTTTTAGTCTTAGTCAACTCTTTCAAAATATTTCTAAGGCGTTTCATGGCCTTAGTTAGTTTTAGCTTTCAATCTACTTAAACTTTAAAATTTTCCATCCAAAAACCGTCTTATATATACACACGGACAAACACTAATCATTTTCAACAAAAGTTTATGCGTGGCAAACAGTTTGTGTCGTTACCAACCTCCGCCAGAGTCTAATAGACCAGAATCGTGATATGGACCTACATGTTACATTTATTTCAGTTTAACCCTGATACTTTTATATATTTGCAGACCTCAAACAAAACCGCCTGGACTACTAGTGGACGAAGGCAGGAAACCATAATGGCGATATGGACGTGTTTATCTCATTTTTGCAATAAAAATACTTCGCTTCTGTTTACATAATTGATAGTTCAAAATTTCAAACGAAGGTTAGTGGATGAAACGATTTGACAAGAATCGCGATTTGAACGTACACATCTATGTTCTATAACCAAAATCCGAAAAAGAAACCCCTAGACTAGTGGACAATACCAAGTAGACCGGATGTAGAAAAAAACTTTATCAGACGACATTATATTTAAAATAGAAGTAATCAAGTAATGCGTAAATAGCAGCAATTAATAATGAAGCAAGGGGAAGAAATGGGGTCCTACTGAAAAGACCCAAAAGGAATATTATTAGGTGTCAATTTTCTTCTTACCCTTGTTCCCATGTTTTACTTTTGTGGCTCCCGTCGAAAATGACCTTCTTTAGTCTTTTCCGCACATTTGAAAAGTTTAGCTCCTTTCCATTTTGCAGCAGTCGAGAACTAACGTAGCATTGGTAACTGAGTACTGATGTTCAATCCAATCAATCTAAAGTAACTCTATCCTAAATATTGAAACTGGGAATAAAAGAAAAACGAACCAAAGGCTGTTTTAAAAAAAAAATTAAACGTATGCTACGAATACTTGTGCAAAGATGTTTTTTAGCAATTAAAAATTACTCATTTACTCTGACTAAAGTGAGAGCAGATACGAAACTTATGCAAAAGATATAATCCCAATAATTTTTAAAAATATAAAAGATTACTAATATGATTTTAACAAAAAAAAAAAGATTACTAATATGAGTCGTTTATGGTCTCAATCCCAAAATTTAATTAACCAGAGTAAAAGAGGGGAAAGCGGGTCCCACCAGTGAGACCCAAAAGGAATATTTGTAGTCAATTTTCTTCCCAAGTTTTGCTTGTTGTTTGTTTCTGTTGCAAAAACCGAAAATGACCCTTTCTCTCTCCACATTTGGAAAGATGGGAACCTTTTCCTCTCATTTTGGAAAGTATAAAAAAAACAAAATAATATAATTATCAAGAATGTAATAAACTGATTAAATAATTATCTGAAGTTATACAATTAAATGATATGCTAAAAAAACCTAAAGATACTAGTTGATATTGTAAAAGTTGTTTTATTTATTTTGCTGTGTTAAAAAAAAAATTATGTTTGTACTGCAATGAAAATCTTGCTTAAAGGATAATAATGCTAATGAAGATGGAATTGTCACAAAAGAAAATAAAGTAATTTTGGTTCGTTTCATTTTTCAATTATTAATAATTTATTCATTCATTGATTCAAGAGTTAGTACGTACATCCAAACTATAATAAATTTATCAAAATTATCCAAACACAAATAAAAGCATAATTAATTCCTTCGAACTAATGAACCTATTTAAATAGAAGTTGTTCTATTAAAGGAAATAAAAAAAGACTCAAAACCTTCCTTAATCCGCGATTAACAAACACAAGGATAGGACGTGTCATTTTTAGAAAGAAAATGAAAATAAATAGAGGAGACTGCTGCTGACTGCTGAGAAACCATAAGCACAAAGGAGAGTGACGTGAGGAGAGAGAAACGAGAGGAGAGGGAGACGTGAGAAAGATCGAAGAGACGAGAATACAGAGGAAGACACCATGGTCGAAGCTGATAAAGGTTCTTTCATCTTTATCCTCTTCCTATTTTCATCTTCTGCACTACGGTAGGATCAAAATCGGAGGGGTTTTAGGGGTTTAGGAAACTAGGGTTTCGTTTTTGGGGATGTCGATTGTGCAATGTGTGTTTTCTGTCTCCTGAGAAATTTTTGGGTTTCGGTTTTGGGATCGTTGAAGCTGCTAAATAGTTTCGTTAACCGTCATTGTGTTGAACAAAGGATCCGGCTTTCTAAAGTTCTAAATCTCTTTCGTGACTTTCTCTTTTTATCCCGTTCTGTTTCATTACGATCTGTTTTGTTTTAACTGATTATGGCTTTTTCGTAAGGGAGAGATTATGTTTCGCTTCATCTATTGCTTCTGTGGCTTCTAACACAACTCGTTTTACAGATCTGATGGAAGAAGAGAAGAAAGATAGCGACAGTTCGGATGAAGGCGGTGACGGAGCTGGCGGCAGAGGAAAAGATAAGATTTCGGCCAAAAAGTCCAAGAAAAAGGCTTCGGCTTCTGCTTCAACATCTACAAGGAAGCTTTCCAAGGATGAGGACACTTGGCCAAAGGTACTTTCATTCTAGCTCGTATTTTGTTCAAGTAGGAACCATTTCGATTCAATTAAGTGAACTTGATAATAATAATAATCTACTTTCCACAGGACCTCCCAGATGATTTTGAGCACTATGAAAGGAATTGGAACAACTATCTAAGAGCTGCCATGCTACAAGGATTTTTGGGTAAGTATATACGCCTATCTATATGAACATTTATGGAATAAAAAGTAATTGAATTGAAGGATCAGGGAGTTATGTAAACTAAAAGTGTATCAATATGAATATTCTGGATGATAGGATTTTGTTGGGCAGTCGCCATTGTGAGATGCATTGAAGCATTGCTAGCTATCACGAGGAATGTTGTGGTTGAGCTGTCACCACAGCATTTGGTCAACAATACCAGGAACAAAGACAAAACTACGGGAGAGGTGAGGAAATACAACGAGATCAGACGTTTCTTGACGAATCAGGGTCTTGTTATAGAGAGAGCTTGCCCATACTCGGGGAAAATGAACCAAGATTGTCCCAAAAGTTGCCTGAAATGTGTAAGTGTTCATTCCTCGAAGATTTGTTTTTAAGAACTTGTGTTTGTTTCAAAATAATCATTTACCAACTAATTTTTTAGGATGAGCCTGTAGTCAAAATCAGGGAATTGGTGTATATCAAGGGCAAAGAAGTGAATGAAAAGGAATTAATCAAGATGGTCGACCGGCGTCCTATACTTGCTGTGGTAGAAGCTTACACATCCTTCCAGGATTATAAAAGTGTAAGAAGAATTTTAGATTTAATATTTTGGACTATAAAACGCAAATACAATTTTCTCTTACAAGTTAGATTTGATATTGGCAGGGAATCTATGAAGGTTCAACGGACCACAAAGAAGGGTCACTTGGTCGCCATGTGGTCATAGTGTCTGGTTTCGGCTCAACTTCAGAAGGTGTCAACTATTGGATCATTCAAAATTCTTGGGGAACCCAATGGGGGGAAAACGGATATGGAAAAATTATAAGAGAGTCCAGCCGAAATGGCAAACCTTCACTGTTTCTCAAAGCTATCCGATTGGAGGTACTTGTTTGAAACAATGTTGTTAGTTAGTTAACTCTTGTTGGTCCCTTTGTAAAGGTTTTAACTGTGGTTTTCTTTTATAGGTTTGAAGTAAAGTTTGATGTGGAGGACTACAGGTTTTCTCTCATACTGTAGTAAATTAATGATTGTTGGCTGATTAGTATGAGATTGTTTCCACTTTCCATGAGATCTCAATTTCATTTGTTTGTACCTTTTATCGGCATCAATTTGTAGGCTGATGCGAGAGCTATCTACTTTTTTAATTACAGGTTAGAAGGAAAAAGAGGACGTCACTGATAATGATGGTGCTATCTCACTCTGTCTCAACGGTCCATGAACCTAGAATGTTTTGTTTCTTTTTTTTACTTGCAAGAGATCTCTTCTTATTAGCGTCTCAACGCTCCTTGAACCTTTAATGTTTGTTTCCTTTTGTTTTACTTGCAAGATATATGTTCTTATTAGTGTCTCAACGCTTCTTGAATCTAAAAAGATGTTTCCTTTTGTTTTACTTGCAAGAGATATGTTCTTATCAGTGTCTCAACGCTCCTTGAATCTAAAATGATGTTTCCTTTTGTTTTACTTGCAAGAGATATGTTCTTATCAGTGTCTCAACGCTCCTTGAATCTAAAATGATGTTTCCTTTTGTTTTACTTGCAAGAGATATGTTCTTATCAGTGTCTCAACGCTCCTTGAACCTAAAATGCTGTTTCCATTTTACTTGTATGAGAGATCTGTTCTTTTTGTTGTTGGACCTAAAAATCAGAAAAAGAGAATAGCCAAAGAAAGGAAAGTAGAATTATCTACTGCACTTAGCGAAAATCCCCTAATCCCAGGTGCAAGATGACCAAGGCGGCTCTCCAGGGTTTGCGCACCTGAATTATGCACTCGATCCAGGGAAAATGAAACTCTCAAATAAAAAAATCATAAACTCAGAAGCAGAAGTAGAAGATTGTTTTTTTTTTTTTTTTCTGTGTTTGAGTCAAGTCTCGAGTCCTCCTTATATAGACTTAAAAACGTAACTGCTCAGGAGAGACTATGCCATCAACATCGCTCTCTCCAACAGTCCAACTGTATGACTTCTTCACACTAACAGATACAGGTGAGAAAAATCAGGCACGATCTTGACATCTTCTAAAAATCAAAAACGTGAATGACAAAGCCCAAATTGATAAATACAAAAGCCCAACTGAATAAACATATCCAACAATGTTGGCCAGTGAAGTCAAATGGTGTTGTAATCTACAACATGATCTGCAGTCTGCAGATGGTTTTGTTGAGTAATCTTATAATGGACATATCGACCACTCTGGAACCAATCGTTTGTAATTCGATTCCAGCAGAATGTTCCAGAAACGATAGAAAAAGATGATTCAACAAGGGAGAGATTCTCCATTGGAATTATTTGAGATGAGAAGAATCAAGGATCAAGCTCAGAAGCATCCTCTCTAGTCGTCTTAGTTCTGTCCTTGTGATTGCTAATGTCATTGATAACTAAGTTTCGTGTCTTCTTAGGGCTCTCCCTTTTAGTTAGCTCGCCTCTCATATCTCACGGAGGAGCTATACTCTGACTGATACTCAGATCCGTTAGATGCTACTGTCATGTCGTCTTCTTCAGGGACCATTGCTCTGAAATCTAGTGGTGGAACGCGGGATCTTGGCAAATAACACACTTGTTTAAAATTCTTTAAAAGCTCGACAAGACAAGAACTGTTTCAAGGCTAAGACAGGTAATAAGAAGGTCTAGGTATGATTAACTTGGCTTGTAGACTGATGATACAAGAGTTCAAACATTTCATCATGTTAATATTACCGTGCGTTTTCATACGCTTTTTAACTTTTCATCAACTGTGGATTTGTTCATTTGATACGACATGTTTACAGTGTGGATGCTTAAGCAATACTTTTGCAAGTGCATGTATATAAGCCATACTTAATTAAACACCAACACCAATATATAGGTATCAAATTTGACAACAGAGTCTAACATAAACGAGAAAAAGGAAGTTGGAGAAACAAGTAAACAATAGATAGATAGGTAGACAGATGTGGAGAAACTGGAGATATCACAAACAAACCGTTCTTTAATCTTGAGACGTAAAGAGATGGTCTGAGAATTCAAGAAGTTGGTCTGGGAAAGCAAGAGCCTACTTCAGTATCTCCGGGCAAGTACCGAACCACTGCTCGATAGGGTACTGTCTGATTGCCTTGAGAAGGATCATTCACTTGGAATGAGATATGGAAGACGGGTCCAGCAGCCAGATAAAAGTTTGCCCTCAGTATCTTGCCCAATTCCAGACTTGTTTGCTACCACCAAAAAACAAAAACCAAAAAGCAATTAAATTTCGCAACAGAGACACAGATGATAGATTCATGGGAAAAAAAGATTATGTATTCTTTAAAAACAAATCCTCCTAACCATTTCTGCGTTGTGCTTGGTGAGAGCGAGTTTCGCCAACTTGGCGATAAATTCTCGGTTGGTTTCAGGCTCTTTGACCATTGTGCTATCGTCCAGGTCCAATTGTTTCCAGCTGGAACAGTAAGTAAGTTTCGAGAAGTCGATTTCAAAGCCCTACACAAGTCAAGTTTCGAGAATCAATTTCGAAATCCTTTCAATTTTAATTAGAGAAGTTAACAGCAAAAGAAAGAGATCGAACCTGGCTCTTATCCCACTCATCATAAAACAGTTGAATTTCCTCCGGTGTGCCGCAATCGGAATCATCCGAATCGCTGTAGTAGCAGATTGTCTCTTCCTCCGTCTTCTGACGCTTCGGGGAAGAAGGACCGGATTCTTCCTTATCGATCGATGAATGCATCGCTGAGTCGAGGCAGAGACGATGCGGAACCCTAACTTTCTCCCGATCTAGATTGGGCTGATGTTGATTCCACTTCGGTCTATTTCTCTTTTTATTTTAAAATCATAAAGGAAAAAGGAGAGTCGAAATCCCCATTCACATACACACACACACACGTGTACAATTTACTTAAATCCGACACTTGTCGCCTTCTGTTTCTCATTAATTACTACTGTACGTGAATGACAAAGGTTTCATTAATTACCCCAATTGAAGAAACCTACCCAACAAAGCCCTGTCTTATGAATTCTCGTTATGGTAAACATATTTGGTCTTGTAATCTACAACATCGACAAAGATAATTTTGTTGAGCAATCTTGTATCAATCTTGCTATATAGACTTCACAAGAATGTTCCAGAAAACATAGAAAAAGATGATACAACAAGGGAGAGATTCTCCATTGCAATTACTTGGGCAGGTCTATTTGAGATGAGAAGAATCAAGGATCAAGCTCAGAAGCATCCTCTCTAGCTAGCCGTCTTAGGTCTGTCCTAGTCATCACTATTCTCACTGATATCTAAACAGCAGACATCATGGTTTGAATGATTTATATGTTCATTGACAAGGAAAATTGACACCTAATATTCCTTTTTGGTCTTTTCAGTAGCCGTATCATTGCTTGCTTGGAGGATTTTCCTCATTAAATAGGTTGCATGGGATAACTAAGAAAGAGGAAAGAAAGGAGAGAGCAAGAGGAGAGAAATAAAGTTGTGGGAGAGAGAGAAGAAGAGAAGATAAAATAAGATGGACAAAGAGGAGGATGAGGGTTTAATCGATGCTAGTGATTTGGTCGGTGTTGGGGCTGGTAATGTTGGTGTTGGTGGTGGTAAGAGGAAAAAAATGAAAACTCCCTCCAAGAAATCAAAGTCAGATCCAGCGACAACTTCTATTAAGAAATTTAAGCCACGAGATGAGGAGTGGGCAAAGGTGAATTAATTTGATTAATTAATTATTTTCGTTTTGTGTATATTAATTATTAAGCATACAAAGTCTAACTTTATCGAATAATCATAATAATAATTTCCTTATTTGGATGTGTAGGATCTCCCCCCGTTTTGAAAGTAATCACAAGGATTGGTTCGGTGTGCTTAGCAATCAAGGAGAACTACGTAAGCATGATGAATTTTTATATAATCAATCAAGCATACATGTATAAACTCTCACCAAAACTGTTGTATATTTACATGTTGTACTCACTCTCATGAATATATATGACTAATTACGACGGGACTGATCCTAACAAAGTTGTTGTTTGCCATTGATAAGGGTTTGTTGGGCCGTGGCACTTGCACAGTGTATTCAAACATTGTATGCCATAAGGGGTGTTACAGTTACGCTCTCACCTCAGCACAGTGAATTTGATTTTTGAAAATGGGCAAAGGTTGTACACAGCCTGGAAGAGTAACAACATTTTCTTTCTTCTTTTTCTAAAACAATCCAATGTTTATTACTCCTATTGGTTATCTAAAAGTAATTGAGTTCTTGAACTTCTATGGTTAATTTTTATTAAAAAGTAGTTTGTGTAAGAAAATGATGTACTAATTGTTAAAGAATAAATGTTTCTTAATTTATGTGATATCAACAGAGGGATAGCATCTTAATGCCAATAATAATTTAGTTGTTTTCTTTGTTGTTCCACCAGAATGTGAACATGATATTTGATTTTCTTTTTGGCAATCAGAGATTTTTCTGTGGTAAAAGACTAATCTTTGGCCCTGATGTATCATCTCTGTTTCTAACATCGTTCTTGATTGGAGCTCCTGCGTTTACGTTCTGCATAAGGATGCTCGTGTGGATCAGAAAAGGCGATCCTTTCTTCAACTATACCGTTCTGACTTCAGCATTTATCCTCACCCTCTTGGTTTGTCTCCTCCTTTGAATCCTTCTTCTCTTTAAGCTGTTCCGTTCTGATATCTTTGCATCCACCTCTTGCAGGATTTCACGTTTCTAATGTTGACACTGTTCTCATTGATATCTAAATTGCGTTCGGCAAAGAAATGGCTTGTTTTGGGGTATGTATACTGATGATACAAGAGTTCAAACATTTCATCGTGTCTACTATACCGTGGGTTTTCATACACTTAACTTTACATATGAATTGTGAATGTGTTCCTTTGATACGACATGTTAACATTCGAATGTTTGGATGCTTAAAAAATACTTTTGCAAAAGTGCATACACCTACTAACTTATATATATATACATAATTAGCTAATGTCATACCAAATTTGAAAACAGTCTAACATAAACGAGAAAATGAAGTTGGGAGGAACAAGTAAACTGGAGATTAGATATCACAAACAAACAATTCTTCAATCTTGAGACGTAAAGAGATGGTGGATCACAAACCTCTGAGAAATCAAGAAGTTGGTCTAGGAAAGCAAGAGGCTACTTCAATATCTCCGGGAAAGTACCGAACCACTGCTCGATAGGGTTTTGTCTGATTGCCATCATAAGGATCATTGACTTCGAATGAGATATAGAGGGTGACTCCAGCGGATGGATGATAGTTTGCCCTCAGTATGTTGCCCAATTCCAGACTCGTATCCTACCACCAAACGCCAAAAACCAAAAAGCAATCAAATTTCCCAACAGAGGACATAGATTCATAGAAAAAAATGCATTCTTTAAAAACGAATCTTAACCATTTCTGCGTTGTGCTTGGTGAGAGCGAGTTTCGCAAACTTGGCGATTAATTCTCGGTTGGTTTCAGGCTCGTCGGCCATTGTGGTATCGTCCAGATCCAATTGTTTCCAGCTGGAACAGTAAGTAAGTTTCGAGAAATCCATTTCAAAGCCCTACACAATTGTAAGTTCCGAGAGTCAATTTCGAAATCCTTTTAATTTCAGTTAGAGAACTCAACAGCAAAAGCAAGAGATGGAACCTGGCTCTTCTCCCACTCATCATAATACAGTTGAATTTCGTCCGGTGTGACGCATTCGGAATCATCCGAATCGCTGTCATACCAGATTGTCTCCTCCTCCGTCTTCTGGTGCTTCGGGGAACAAGGATCGGATTTCTCCTTATCATCGATCGATGAAGTCATCGCTGAAACGGGAAGAGTCGAGAGACTCGAGACAGTGCAGTAGAGACGATGCGTGTATTGTGTAACCCTAATAACTTTTTCTTGAATATTATGGTGTTTCTAATCCGAAAACGCTCCTTTTAAAATATACTGATAATAAAAATAATACAAATTACCCAGGATAACCCCTTTTTATAAGAAATAGCTAGAATAATTCTTCAAATTTTTCTTTACTTATATAACCTACTTTCAATTCAGTAATGATGTATAATTCCTGTTTTATCCTTTTCATTAATATTATGTCTTTAAATTCGTTTATAAAAGAATTACACATAACTTTTTTTATTTGATTTTGAAACATTATATTTAATTAATTATTAAACAGAAAAGGAAATTAGTAATTAAGTAATTTTTTAACCCTAAATCAATTGATTATTGTTATATTACCAAATTTTCATCGCCGCCAACGGAGTCAGAGCTGCTTTTCTTCTTCGAAACAGTTTCCTGTCTCGGATTGAATTCTCTACCCAATCTTGTTCTTATTATTTCTGTTCCTCCCATAATTAGAAAAGGTTTGACTAAGATTTCTAAAGACTAAATTTTTTCTTTTGAAATATTGATTGTTATATCTTCTTTCTCGAAGTGAACTTTGTGCACAGCAATGCCTTATTTTTGACCTTGTCGTTATGTTTTATGTCTTTTCTGATTTGTTTTTTTTATTATTCTTGCATTATTCAGGATGTCGTCTTAGACAAATGTGGAAATGGGATTCCCTTTACGACTATATTCACTTGGTTGTGAACCTGTGCCTGCCAAAAGCATCAATTACCATAGCAAGACTATTTTTTTGGATAAAGTGGAAACAGCTGTTGAAGTAGAAGTGTGGGACTACATTCGTGCTTCGCCTTTGGGTGTTTTTATACGGTTTGTTGAAAAAAAATTCACTTGGTCATCAAAGCTTGTTGAGTACCTTCTTGTTAAGCAACTCATTTGCAAAAAGAAGTATGAGATATGGTGTTTGTTTGGTAGTACACCTGCTCGATTCTCTTTGTCGGAGTTTGAACACCTAACTACACTGAATTGTGCATCTCTTCTTGCTGAGGATCCAGTGGAAACTAATGCACATTAAAACTTATGGGAGAAGATGAAAGTCCAGGAGAAAAAGAATCCAACCAAGAATCAATTGAGAGAGGTGTGTAAAAATGTAGCTAGTTGGTCAAGAGAAGAAAAAATTTGCTTTGGATATTTGTCTATTTTCGCAACTTTCATCATAGGCAATAAATTAGCAGAGTAGCAAATTAAAGTTCAAGTCTACTATAAATTCGCAGAATCTACCAAAGAAAAATAGCAGACTAACAGATTAAAGATTGAGTCTACTATTAACTTTGGAAAGCTGGCGTAGTCTGCGAAACTTTGGCAGAGTCTACCAAACAAAAAGGCAGGGTCTACGAAAAATAATGTCGATCCGCCAAAATATAACCAGACCAGCAGATTAAAGTTCAAGTCTGCCAAATAATCGCAGAATCCACCAAAACAATAGCAACCTAGCAGATTAAAATCCAAGTCTGCTAATAACTTTGGAAGACTTTGGTGTAGTCTGCCAAACATCGGCATAGTCTACCAAAAAAAACGCAGAGTCTACTAAAGATACTTTGAATCTGCCAATAAATTAGCAGAGTAGCAAATTAAAGTTCAAGTCTACTATAAATTCGCAGAATCTGCCAAAGAAAAATAGCAGACTAACAAATTAAAGATTGAGTCTACTAATAATTTTGGAAGACTTAGTATGGTCTACCAAACATTGACATAGTCTACCAAAACAATGCAGAGTCTACAAAATATAGTGTAAAGCCGCCAATAAATTAGAATACTAGCAGATTAAAATAAAGTCAGTTTAAAAAAATTTGTAGACTTCCAAGGTCTGCCTATATCAAGTCTTCCAAAACATGGTAGACTCCCATTTCATCTTCTAAAAATAAAAATAAATGATTACCTGAATATTTATGAATATAGAATTTTGAAAGTTGAAGGTGTATCTTTGGTTTTGTTTTACCATGGCTTTTAAGATGTAAACCGAATAGATCTACATAACAAAAGCAATATGAGAAAGAAAAAGACATAGAAAACCTTATTTGTTAAGCAATCATATTCAATCTTCATGAATAAACAAAAATAAAATAGAAGCTAAATTACCTATTTCCCTAATCTCTACAATGATTAAGGAGAGGTATGTATGAAGGAGTTGCTAGTTGGTGATGAATATTAAGAAGTGGAACATGAAAGAAGAAGATGAATATATCAACAATGGCTTTTGAAATAAAACTTTCCTTTTTTTTAAATGGTTTCCTTTTTTAAAAATCCGAAAGATTGTGCATTTAATTTTTGGTTTCATTAAATTTTATATAACTTCCTTTTATATCAAATTTCGTTTTTAAATTAAGCAGCATATGTTTCGATTTTTTTTTCTTCTAATTATTGTATTTTTAATTAATTCCTGTAAAGATATTATTTATTGAGTTAAGGGTAATTTGGACAAAACTTGTTAAAAAAATTATAGCAAATCTTGCTAGATTATACTGGCTATATTTAATTATTATGAGGCTATATGAGCAAATCACCCAACTTTTTGCTTATTTTTATTTTCACGACGTGCAATAACATCGTAACAAGTTGACATCTACGAGGAACATGTGTTCTGCTTTATGCCTTTCGTAAAAAAAAAATGTGTCCTGTTTTAAGTTTTTACGTCGTAACTTATATTTTGCTCTTCATGCTCATTCGAATATGATACAAAAGTAATGCAACCCAACGCTATAACATTTAAAATGGCACTAGCAATAACAGAACGACACAATGTACATGGTTCATGGATCTTTGTTGGACAAAGGATCAAGAACTAAATTTTAAAATTAGAAAAACACAACAAAAAAATGGGGTAAGAATCTTCGATATTAGTTCACATAAGAGTCAAGAAAATAAAATTTTATCCTTCCGGCACTTCCTCCTCCTTATCTATAATTGTTTGATCCTAATTTTATTTTCAGAAAAAAATTACCGAAACTCTTGGAAACTATTTGAGGACAAAAAAAATTGTTAGAGAGAGAGAGAGAGACGAAACAAAACTACAGAGGATTGGTTTGCAATGGATTATTAAGTCAAGAACAAGAAGAAAGAGAGAAAAAAACTAAACTAAAATTATAGAGAAATCCCCAAAACCCATATTTTTTTTCTTTAATTTGGTTGATACCAAATAAAAAAGAATTGTAAATTTATGAAAACTAGTTGAAAATTTAGAACCTCTGGAGGAGAAAAAAAAAACAAATTTGAAGATAGGGGCTTCATGAGTGGGTTTGTGAGAAAAGGGGGAAACAGAGAATGCAGAGGGAGAGAATGAGCAAGAAGAAGACTAGTCAGGTTCATTGTATTCCCTCTGGTGATCAAATTCTCATGACGGCTTCAACTTCAAAACACATTTCTCAGATCAGATTGTACAAAGCCTGGAAGGGTAACAACGTAATAATATTTTCTTTCTTTCTTCTCTTCAACAATTCATGATTAGTTTGTTCCACCAGGATATGAACATGATATTTGATTTTTTGCATGGCAATCAGAGATTTTTCTGTGGTGGAAGACTAATCTTTGGCCCTGATGTATCATCTCTGTTCCTAACATCGTTCTTGATTGGAGCTCCTGCGTTTACGTTCTGCATAAGGATGCTCGTGTGGATCAGAAATGGCGATCCTTTCTTCAACTACACCGTTTTGACTTCAGCATTTATCCTCACCCTCTTGGTTTGTCTCCTCCTTTGAATCATTTTTTCTCTTTAAGTTGTTCCGTTCTGATATCTTTGCATCCACCTCTTGCAGGATTTTACGTTTCTAATGCTGACATCAGCTAGGGATCCAGGGATCATCCCAAGGAATAAACTATCAATGAGTTTTGAAGATGATTCAGATAGTTCTTTGACACAATCTATGGAATGGGTCAACAACAAAACTCCTAACCTCAAGATTCCAAAAACAAAAGACGTTTTCGTTAACGGGTACACAATCAAAGTCAAGTTCTGTGAAACTTGCCTTCTCTATCGTCCACCTCGAGCATCACATTGCTCCATCTGCAACAACTGTGTCCAACGATTTGATCACCATTGTCCTTGGGTTGGACAATGCATTGCCCGAGTATGCTCCATAGATTTGAAAACTTCTTGGTCATATATTTATCTGCTCGTTGTTAGGAGAGTAGCTGATTCTTGGTGTGAATCTTTTGCAGCGAAACTACCCCTTCTTCATATGCTTCATCTCAACTTCAACATTGTTATGCCTATATGTCTTTGTGTTCTCGTGGATCAATCTAGTCCGACAGCCAGGGAGATTATGGAGGACAATGTCTTATGACATAGTCTCTGTCATTCTTATCGTCTATTCATTTGTTGCTGTCTGGTTCGTTGGTGGCCTTACCATTTTCCACTTCTATCTTATGTCTACAAATCAGGTAAAGTCCTTTTCTTTATCATTATAACATACCTACAAACTTGTTACCTTACCTAAGCCTTAAGAATTGAGATATGTTCTTGTGTTGTGTCTGTGTTTGCAGACAACATATGAGAATTTCCGGTACCGCTATGATAAGAAAGAAAATCCTTACAAGAGAGGATTGCTGAAGAATGTTAAAGAAGTGTTCTTTGCCAAGATCCCGCCTTCGCAACTAGATCTCAGAGCAATGGTCCCGGAAGAAGATGACATGACAATAGACGGATCTGAGTATCAGTCAGAGTATAGCTCCTCCGTGAGATATGACACAGAAATGGGAGGCAAGCTAACTAAAAGGGAGAGCCCTAAGAAGCTTCCTTTGCCCACACGGAATTTAGATATCAGTGAGAATAGTGATGACTACGACAGACCTAAGACGTCTAGAGAGGATGCCTCTGAGCTTGATCCTTCATTCTTCTCATCTCAAATAGACTTGCCCAAGTAATTGCAATGAAGAATCTCTCCCTGTTGTAACTTTGTCTATATTGTATGGAACATTCTGATGAAATCTGTATAGCAAGAATTACAGACGAGTGGTTCCAGAAGTCGATGTATCCATTGTATTATCCAAGATTGTAGATTAGAACACTAAAAAAATGTTTAACATTCGGCTTCATAGGCAAACATTATATTATTTCCCAGAATGAGACAAAAACAGATCTCTTACAAGTAAAAAAAGAAACAACTTTTTTAAGTTCGAGGAGCGTTGAGAAACTGAGTGAGATAGCAATAGCACATCATCATAGTCTCTTCAAGCTTTTCTTTCTGGCGTCTACTTTCTTCTTGTCTGCCTGAACCTTTGCCAAACCGGCTTCCCTTTTCTGTGTAGTAGTGGCCACACTTGCAGATCCTACAGTGGCTGCTACGTTAGCCGCTTGTTGTTGGTCTTGGGCACTTGTCGTTGTTACTCTCTTGATGTCTGCCATTGAAGAGGATATAGCAGTAGCAGCACCAGGCGTCTCGTTGTTAGTCTGGCCAACATTCAGAGCCGTCGTTGACTCTGAGATAGCTCCTGTCTTGAACTTAGGTTTCGGTTTAGCATGTATACCCGTGTAAAGCCTGCATGCATACAACAAGTCCAGTAGATTCATTTCTTAGCAAAAACAAAAACAGAATGTTCAGAGAGATTTTGACTACATAATGAGACCAAAGTAGATGACTCACCGAGCATGCCTCGCATACTCTTCATAGTTTTCAAGTAGCATCTTCCCAGCCTGTTCATTTAGTGCAGATTCTGGAAATGGCTCGATCAGTAAGCACCTCACAACCTGTTAACAAGTACAAAACATACAAAAACTCAGTCCCAAGTTTTCTGTAATCTGATCGAAAGCAATGAGATTACAAGGCTCAAACGTCTTACAGAGAGAACATGTCTTAGTCCAAGACTAGGGTTCCAATCCTTTTTAAGCGTGTTGACGCAAATCTCTCCATTAGAAGCAACATTGGGATGAAAGATCTTTGTCATGAAGTAGCCTACAATGGCAGCAGACCCAAAGAATTAGAAACCACTAGAAATATCCAATGTGTCTATGGCTTAACATCTCAGTGGCAAGCATATATATAAGACATACCTTTAGGCGGCGAATGTGGAAAATCATGTGACAGTGCCAACTTCATCCGGAAAAGTCCATTCTCGTATGGTGTCCCAACTGCATCCAATCAAAAGGTATAAGAACATGTCACTTTACATAATTCAACGTTTGTAATCTTGCACAGAAATGACAATAATAGGGAAACAATTGTGAACCTGGTCCTTCAATATCAGCACATATTTGTGAGAAATCCTCGTCATTTACCACAACCTTGATGCCATCTGGAGGGGATTCGTCAAGACTCTTTAGTTCCTTGGCGAGCTGCTTGATAACATTTGGTGGTAGATTCTCGTTACTTGCCTGAGGATTGAAAACACCATCAGAGAAGACTAATCAGAACAGGTAAAGACATTTCAAATCACAATTCTATTTCGAACAAGATATACAGAGAGAGAGGTAGAATTACCATGGAGACTAATAAGTGCAAGAGAAGCCTCCGCAGAAGTTTTTCTCCTCAGACTCAGATAAACAGGCAAAAGCACCAATGCGATCAAATCCTTCTCTGATTTTCAAGACTTGAATGCTATACAACTGGGCTGATCCAAAACAACAAAAAGTTAATGCTTCGCTCCCACAACAGATCTGAGTAAAACAGGTTATCCATTCAGCATTAACATTTCATCAAGAGAATCAATTTTGTCAATTTGATTGAATCAGTTACCGTACCAATTAAGCTATTTCAAAGAAAGGAAATTGAGCAGATCGATGAAACAAGAGCCGAAACTATGATCGCGTAAAGAAGAGTGAAGACACGAATTCAATGAGAGTAAAGCCGGATAGCTGAATTCGTACAGAAATGAGAGCGAAACGCATCCAGTACACAAGGAGAAAGCCAACGAATTGAGGAATCAAAGAAAACCCTAAAATGAAATAATTTGGGATCTCGCTCAATCGACTCTAGGGTTTTCCAGGAATAACTCATAGGACCTAATTGGGGCTAACGTTCATACGAAAAATCGAAGAAATCCGAGATAGAGCACAATCCCAGGACACAGAGAAAGCAAAGAATAATCATATCCCTAGTCCATCATTTCGAGAAAGAAAACAGAGTCGAAGATGAGGGAAACGAAGAACTTTCAATCAGAAATCAAACGTACCTTGCTCAAAATTGAAATTCGCAGAGAGTGAGAAGAGGCGATCCCTTTCTCTCTACCTTTTGGTAGAGTAATGATCTATTCAAGTTGAAATCGAGAAGAGAAGAAGAGAGAAGAGAGAGGTTCAATTATTGAATTTTTATAAGAGAGAGAGAGAGAGAGAGAGACAAAAGCTCTTATTTATTATTAAAAGAAAATAAAGGAGCGGCGTATCAGAATGAAAAAAAATGTGGGTAGTTTCGTAAATTACCCGCCAGCCTGGAATTGACCGTTAGGATGTCTTCTTCTTTCTTCTTCTTCGCACCCGCTAACTTATAACTAGCCGTTACTTGTTGTGTGTGTCAGGTGTTCTTTAACTATGATTTATTTATTTCCCAAGCTTCAGATTTAGAGATTTCAAAGAAATTGAAATATAGATTCAACCCCTTAGAAGAAAGGAAAGTAAAGCTAAGCACACAATATATGAAAATCTTTGTATATATTCTAATAGCATTTGGTCGACCGAACAAATCAAATCTTATTATTATCAATGATATATCGAATTACTTTTACGGTTTTACCTAGAACAATGTTACTTTATGAAGCGATGCCAAATATTATATTGATGAAACGAACAAATTGTTGTGGACTGGAACAACAAGCCCAATTAGTGAAGGCCCATTGGGAAAAACCGTAGCACGACGAGTTTTGTTAATAAAAATATGTATGCTAGAGCTCAATTTATATATTTTTGTCTTCTTCGTTTTCTTCCAATCGTCGAGAGCTACGTTATTTAGCAAATAGCTTTGGACTTTTAATTTACCAAAAAATAAACTATTTTAGCTCCAATATAGTTATTTTCTTGCCTCACAAGTTTACAGATCATTTATATTTTTAGCTCAACGAAACCTTGAGCTTGGTTCGATTCAGAATTAGATTCATAATTGTATGAGAAGCTTTACTCATATCATATTTTCATCTCTATATGATTGGGTAGTGTAATTTCCACACAATACTTATATAAACAACAATATAAAATGGGATCCTTTTCATGGACCCGGAAATAAAAGAAAGTTAGTCTCTATATATCATCATCATACACATGTTTATGATGTGGATGTGTACGTTGCAGCACTTGTTGGACAATAGAGATTGGAAGATCTTGTGTTTATCTTTTAAAGTCTTTCCGCAATGAGAGTTATCTAATAGGTTTTCAATCAACTAAAGACAAAACAATCTGAACCTCGTGGACCCAAGATCAATTCCGATTTCATAAATTATAACATAAAAAATTGTTAAAATAAAAGACAAAATAAGTTTGTGGACCAACTTTCTCAGACTCTTTGGATACTCTTCTTTATTTTTTTTATGAACTGGGATATTCTTCATGGAAGACCGTATTTATCTTCGACTAAGCAATAAAAGTGTTTTCGGAAGAGATAGACATATCCACCAATAGCTAATGATTCTGGATGATAATGCATATGCAATGAACAAAACATGTTTATCAAACAAACACTATGCAATGTGTCTCTTCTAACCCAATCCATCCGTTGTAATCTTCAAGACAGAATGATATTTTTCTTGATTGAGCAAATTTAATATATGTTGTTGTTTGCTTCGGTCGGTTCCTTCCTATTTCATTTGGTACCTATTTGGGGTATTATTGTAAGTAGATAAACATTTAAATGTACCAGATTATACACGTTTTAAGTGTTAAAGGATATGTAAAGCTTAATTTGATCATTTTTTTTTGTCTGCAAAAGATATGTAATGCTATGTTTCTGAACTGACGTGGGGACTATGTATTTTGTCCTAACTCCAAACTAATTTAAATAGTTGATTTAAAAAAAGGCCCAATAACAACCAATGATGAACTGCCACGTACACATGTGCTAAAGTTAGGTGTAGAATCTTAAATTAACTTGTCCAAACTCCAAAGACCAAAATGGCACATACCATAAAGATACAAACTCTTAAGGTTAGGGGAACAAACAAAATGGTTATGAACTCTAAGGTTATTTGTTCCATCTCAAATTATTTTTCAATGTGACGGATTTTCTTACAAATCTGATATTTTTGCAATGTGGTTGCTTTTTTTCATATGCCTCAGGATTATTGCACATGTTAATGCAATGCAGTGGTAGGCACATTATAAGAGACAAATTGAAACCAAGTGAAACAAAAACTCATTCCGAATTTCCAAATGCAATATGTTCTCAAGTAGGTATGAGAAAGGTTCAAAGAATTTTGCAGAAAGGGAATAAAAAAGACACTAAAAATGGTCAGTCAACAAGTGGAGGCCACGCGCCAAAGTAGGCGTCGGTCGAATCTAATGATAACTCTCTACGGAAAAAACATAAAAGTTTGAGAATCTTCTCATGTCTCTTCAAGTCTTTGTCTCAAATTAAATAAATCTCTCTCTCTCTCTCTCTCTCCTCATCTTCATCTTCATCGTTCATCATCACTTCTCAGATTGCGTTACCTCTTGGATTTTTAACAATCTGAGTTTGATAAGCGAGAGAGAGATTGTTCGTGAAAATGAAGCTTATCTCATTTCGGTAATTGCTATTTTCAGCTGGACACTAATTTTCTTGATTAGTGTATATTGTTTTCCGGGAAAGTTTCTGTTTTTTTTTTCTTATTTGTCTTCAGTTTTATTATCTTCCTCTCGAGTCTCTCTGATGATTTGCCTTTTACGATTACAACAAAAAAAAAGTTGAAAATATAGGAGAAGTATTATTCTCTCTGTAATTCCAATTCGATTTTTCAATGTTTCCGTGAAAAAATATAATTTTTGAGAGATTTTAGATTTGAGATTTTCTCTCTCTATTAAAGTAAAGTGTTGAGGATGAGAGAGGAAGATTCCACTTGGTTCGCTAAATGGGAAGAAGAGCTTCCGTCACCGGAGGAGCTCATACCGTTATCTCAATCTCTGATCACTCCCGATCTCGCCATCGCCTTCGATCTCCGAAGCCCGAACCACCGCAACAACGCAAGTCCCGGTCAAACCACGCCGCCACAAGCCAATTCATCCGCCGCAGATTCCGCCGGAGACGAACAAGCCCGTACTCTGAAACGGCCGCGTTTAGTGTGGACGCCTCAGCTGCACAAGCGTTTCGTCGACGCGGTGGCTCATCTCGGGATCAAAAACGCCGTTCCCAAAACCATCATGCAGCTTATGAGCGTCGATGGCTTAACCAGAGAAAACGTCGCTAGCCATTTGCAAAAATACCGACTTTACCTCAACAGGATGCAGTCCGGCGGCGGAGGAAACGTCGGTGTCTCTGATCATCTCTTCTCGAGCTCCCCTGTTCCTGCGCACTTCCTCCACCCGACAGCTAGACAAAGCTCCGACCATTTCATACCGTCTTTTGTCCCAATGGCGACTTTGCAGCAGCAACCGCCTCAGTTTATCCCCCACCGGCAAATCGCCGCCGCGAATTTCATCTCTCCGACAATGAAAGCGACGGACCAGTCGTTGTTCTTGGCAAGGCAGAGTCAGCAGCAACAAGTGCTCATCAGACCATCTTCATTGCATTTGCATAGTCAAGTGGCTAATTACGCCGGGGATTTGGAATCAGGATCCAAAACAACGGTCTTGACTCTGTTTCCAACTCGAGACGATTGAATGAAAACAAATTTTAGATTGGAACATCCAAAATCCGAGTTATGCTTCTTCTTTTTGGGTCTTTGTTTGTGCCATGTAATAATTGAGTATCCTTGTAAAATCCTGATTGGATAGAAAAAAAAGTTGATGATCTTTTTTTCACTTGTCTAGATTCTGATTAATACAACTACTTTACTATGTTTCTTGCTTTCGTTTTTCCCTTTCGATTTAGATTTGTTTCTTAAAAGTTGTTTGTAGTTTTGCACCGAATATCATAAACATAAAGCATTTGCAGCTGGTAAAACTCTTCCTCTACTAAAATTCAAGATTCTGATAATAGCCATTTTTATCTTATGTAGTTGTACGTACATCTACATAAAATATCAGTATTTATTGACCAAACCATTGATACAATAGTACAGTGTACAAAGAACATGAAACCGCCAAAACCAAAAAGCAAAGACTAGACAGTGCCAGGCGGAATCTGAATCCCAGGATCTGATGCTCTCATATCCTTAATCATACCCCATTTAATGAATTGTTATGTACATAGAATTAGTTATGGGACCAAAACCCAATCAAGGTTTTTCTATTAGTTATTTATGATTTTCTATAGTACTTAGTAGTAGTTTAGTATCATCTTGATAAGAAACGATAAGTTATTTATTGGGTAAGGTGGGATCAATTAAAAGCAATGATGGTGGCTTCATTAGCTGGCATGTTTCTCATCTGCTTCTTTAAAAGTCATGCCTCTTCGAATTATTTGTGGAAGAAATTGATAAATGCCATAACAACAAGTCACATGTGTTGATAAATGTACGCTTAATGGGCTACAAATTGTACTGTCTGGCCCATTTAGAGCTTAACTTGTCCATAAGGGAACGCTTTGCAGATTGTATAGAGCTTGGTCTTCTGGAATTTGGATTTTGATGCAAAAGTTTGATAATAATAATTAAGTAGTAGAGAGATGTCTTGTTATAATAGTGACCACAGTTTAAACAAACAGCAGAAAAACGATCTAAGGGCTACACCTATAAAACCTGTTTCGAAATAATACAAGACAAGGACTAAAACACGACCCAAGGTCAGGGATTGTGGTGCCTGCAAATCAATAAAGCACAATGGTCAACGCGAGATACTAAGTGTTCCATAGAGGAGAATGGAGAAAGTTTTGTAAGAGTGAAGCTAACCTGAAAAGATGTGCGTCAGAAGCATTCAATGTCTGTGCATAAGTCATAGTGGCACTAGGCCACTCTGTATAAGCAGGTGCGTTACTAGAACCCTGGTTTAGCGATTGGGTGCAGAACGCGTTCATGGCCGGGTTTAAGGGATGTCCATAGTTTAGGCTGGCTTGACTTCTTGGCATCTGTGGGAAAACCGAGTCCTGAAACGGCAGCTGAATTGGCATCGGAATGTAGTTTTGTCCCGGTGGCGTAACCCTCACGTACCTGCAACACCACAAAAAACCTGTTAAACTCTAATGAAGAAACCATGGCATTAGAGTTGAGATGGAGAGTGGGTTCGTTTACCTGTTGCGGTCATAATCAGGATCATAACGATCCTTCTCTCTGTCTCTAATAATAGCAACCCGTGAAGTCCGTCCTGACTCTCTGACAACACCGTTCCTCTCCACATCACCAGAGTTACTATTGTTATTGTTGATCACCACTTCGGTCTCGTTTCTACGTGTATTATCGTGTTTCGTGTCAAGGTGAGGAGGAGGAGGAGGAGCTCGTGTTGAAGAGTCTTCAGAGTCTGAACTGTTAGGGCTGTTGAAGATACGAGCCCGGGCTTTCTCATACTCTTCTTTCCTCTCCTCAACGCTTCTCAAGAGATTCTTCTCCACTCCTGAACCACTACCTGAGCCACCAGATCCTCTGTTTGGTCTAGGCTTGATCGCGATTTTGAAACCCGCAGGCCTACCGTTAACCTCAGGCTGCTTTACAGGAATCTCAGACAAACAGACAAGAGGGAATCTACTCTCGGCCGTCTTTGTCACTATGATTCTGTTCCCTGAGCCATCTACAGCACCGCTGTCTAACGCCGTGGTAAACAGGCCGTAATGGTGAGCAACACGGTGTGCAGCAAGACGAAGATAAGATGTTGGTAAAGGACGAAACTCAAACTGTTGCTGCTCTGGACTTTGAAAGAACTTCTGTATGTCCAGCTCCATACGCAAAACTGTCATTTACACAAAAAGAGAGAGGAATGTTATCATCCATTAACCAAATTGGAAGAAACAACTTCCCAGAAACAGCAAATGGAAAGACATATGATGGTTCTATACGATTATGCATAAAAAAAAAGTGAAATTTGTCTTCTTTCAAAAATCTGAGGAATTGAATTCTCAATTAAGCTAAACTGAGCTAAAGGGTGGGGTGATTCTGAATTGCCTGAAGCAATAGCCATGGATCTAATAATCAAGTACGAAAGCCAAACCCTATTCTCTAAAAGAGAATTTTGAAATCGACAAAACCCTATCAAGGATATTCAATTCGAGAAACCCATAATTCAACGAATCAATAACGAATTCTGGAGACTAACGTTGAAGAGCTAACCATAATCAAATCAATTTCAGAAAAGATGAAATTAACATCGAATCTAAGGGTTTGCGATAAAATTGACTCACTGGTGAGACGATGACGAGGGTTCTGAAGAGCCTCGACCAAAAAAGGATCCACCATAGCTTCCTTCTCGCTCATAGCGGCCATGGATGGGATGATGGGTTCTCGATCTTAAATTTTCCCTTTTATCCCCTTGGAAATAAGGGGAAATTGTACCAATGATAACACCAAAAACAACAAGGAGACGGAGAAGATTGAATTTGTTAAGGAGAATTGGAGAGATGGGGGAAGCAAATCCGATGAGATGAAGACAAAAAAATTCCAAATCCAAGAGGGTCAAGGAGGAGCGCCTAAAAGACCTTATCGACCTTTATCTCTCATCTCATAATTAAACTAGTGGGGAGACAAAATTAAAGTTGTATACTTTGATTTTTAATTTTCGTCCTCGAGTTTATTTTCTAAATTGAAAAAATCCCAAAGTTGTTTTTTTTATTTCAAGGCATCATTTGGTATGGTCATACTCTCATGATTTGGTGTGGTCGGTTCTGACTCCAGATTTCAGTGTTCAAGCATATGTTTAACTGAGCTTTTTACATATGGAATCATTCATGCATTTACAAGAAACCTTTTAAACATGACAAACAAGCAGCACCACGTTTTTTTGTCATCACATAAAAGTTTTATTCACATATGCATGATGACGCAACCCAAACCCAAAAGCTATCCAGAAATCTAGTGAAACTTGCCGTTTTCATTCTTCATCACTGTAACCATAAACTTCTCTTGTTTGTTGCGCCTCTCTAGCTTCAGAAGCAGTTCGAATTTCACACGGTCTTCAATCACCTGCCAATCAAAACAAAATATCATTTCTTTGCCTAATCAGATTCATGGCTTAGTTCATTAAAAAAAACTGAAAGTGAACATAAGAAAGAAAGAAAAAACAACAAACCTTTGTCCTGGCTATGATTATATCTATGAGTTTATAAGGGAACAGCGAGTTTGATTTCTGCTGAATCCATTTCACAGCGTGCTTTGCTGCCTCTTGGACTTCAGGGTGATTTGTTGATACTGAGATCCAATCAAGTCCATCGCCATCTGCTTCAGACAGAGCAAGCAGATCATAGTCAATTAGTCATCATATTTACCAAACCAGAGACGACGTGATTATGTTCATTTCACTTCACAGTTGATATGTTACCTGGTTTCAAGCCAAGGTCGGATATAGTGAAGGAAGGGACAACATTCTTGAACTCCTGAAGCTGCTTAAAGTTCATCCATGGCTTCACCCAAACTTTAGCTTCATATATCTTCTTCTCACCAGCTTCGATAACTTCAAGAGTAAGATGGTAGAGCTTCCCAGCAACCACCTGCTCTGTTGCTTTTAGTACTCTAGCGAGCGCAAGAACAGCATTCTACACATTCAATCCAAAAACCAACAGACCAAATGTTAAAACGCTAGCATACAGTGACGAAACCAGTAAACAGAGAGATCATAAAATTCCATCACTACTATAGTTTTCTTCTGTAACCATCCCTTAAACTTTAATCATCACAAGCAGAAATGTAATTTCACTTGAATTTACGCTCGAAAAATGCAAATTTAGAAGGAATACCAAATAACGATCGATTAAGGACTCAATCGATTACATCATCTAATAGAGATTCTATCCAGATTATAATCGTACTCTAACATAGAACAAACCTACCACTAATTCCAGAAAACGTATACACAAACTGAAAATTATAAATTATAGTTGGAGGAATCCGAACCTCTCGCTTATTGTGCTCTTGAACAGCAAAGAGTGCAATATCATCGATCTCTGCCCCACCGTTCCAATCATTCTTGGAATCGCTTATCCCACCAAGCTTCATCCTTACGACGCTGTTGTGCCTGTGCGTTCCTTTTTCTTCACTGCTAATCACAAATTTGCTAAATCCAAAAAGGAGAACCAAGGACACGCAAATCAACATCATCCACACTGACGAACGGTTCATCTTCATCGTTCCCAGTAAAGCTTTCCCGATTCACTAGTTTTCGATCTAAACTCCGATGAGAATTTCCTTAAGAGACGGTTTCTTTCGCCGATTAAAAAACTGATTCCGTTTATGAGAAGAAAAGGCGTCACCGGGAAACATTTCATGGGCCATAAATCAGTCTTCAGGCCCATTATCATGTCCATTTGTCTTTGTTGCCTACATAACGAAAAGATGGCAGTAATTACTGATCTTAACTTCAACTATACATTATCTCAAATTTAATATGTAAAACTCTATATAAATCTAATATTGACCATGTACATTTCTAGAAATTTTAGAGTTTAAATCATTCAATTAGTCTTGCTCTTTATTAAACTTTTTCTATTTTTATCTTTATTTATATCATCATCACCAACTTTTTAACTTCAAACTTTAATAGGTTTCACCAACTATACATTATCGTGATGGTTGCCATACATGAAAAATATTGAAAAGAATGGGTAGTGACTAGTGATGATAAACCAACAAAAAACTTAAATTAAAGCACAAAATCTTATTTAAGAGTTTGGGATCATGTTTTCTAAAGTTGACTACATAAAAGGCCACTAATTATATCATTCAACTCTAAAAAAAGGTGTCTTCAATCATATCTCAGATTTAATATGGCAAAAGCTATTTGGTAATTTTTACTATATCAGTGCAATAAGTAACTAAGGAACATATTAACCAAATATAGTACCCAAATGTAACATGTCATATACTCATATGTATACCTATTAACTAGTAATTAAAAATTAACCTTATGTGAGAGTCATCAAAATGACATATTGCATTGGTAAGTAATTGAGTTAGTCTTTGTTTTTATCAATTTCTTCTATAAATCCCTTTCCATTTCTTTCAATATGCATTGAAACTCTTATTCAAACATCAAAACACTAAACATACACATTACACACTTTCTTTAATATTAAAAGTACATACAAAGTAGCAATCTATAAATACCCATCCGTGTGCAGTCACATATCCAAGTCCTACAGATATTTAAAATGTTGTCTCCTGATTACGCTAGTGATGTAAGCGACGATGGCACTGCCACCGAATCGACAGAGGAGCCGAAGTACAAATGCATGTATTGTCCGAAGTTGTTCTCCAAAACGCAAGCATTGGGTGGCCACCAAAATGCTCACAGGAGGGAGAGAGATAACACCAAAAGACGGGCCCTTTTAGAGTGTATGAATCTGTTGGGTCCAAATTCGTACCCGTATCCGTATCCGTATCCAAATCCTTTTCCTAACCAGCATGCACTCCCGCCGGGATTTGAAATACCTCGTTTCAAAAATGATGGACCGAGTGATCTAGCCATGGTTTACAACCAATGTACCAGGTACTCAAGCTCTGACTTTGCAAGACTACAGGTTGACCCAAGTCAGAGAATGGATCAAGGTTGGGCCATTACCGCGGATCCATACCAACCCGTCATGGCGCAACACCAACCTCAACCATTACTGTCTACATCATCACCAATTTGTTTAGACCTTTGCCTTGGTGTTGGGAATAGCTCCCAAACCCAAACGCAAGCTAAAGAACCAAACAATGCAATGGAGATGGTTGCTGAGAAAGAAGATGATGACCTTTCCCTCACTCTCTCACTCTAGTTGTGAAGTTGTAATGTTTCTCTTTCTAAAAAAAACTTTTGTTTGCAATTTGGTTTACAGTTTTATACAGTTATGTTTCTCTTTAAGTATTTCCAAAAAAAAATTTGTTTGCAATTTGGTTTACAGTTTTGATTCGATGCTAATGATCATCTTTGTTTTTTGGCACTATATATTTATACAAAATCTATATAGTTATACAAAAATCAAAATACGCTTACAAAATAATTACGCAAAATTCATGTATAAAAGTAAGATATGACCCTAACATCGTTCACAAAGACTTATTACAACCCTGGCTTTGGGGTATGTAATATATATTTCAAAGACTTTGAGCTACAATCTAAGATATAAAACTTTATAAGGGTTGTAAGATATAAACCACTAAACAAGAGGGGCGCAAAATATAAATTCTGAAAAGGCTACGGTTTTTGAACTTTCGAGTTCCTTCTCTCACTTTTCCCAATTGCGCCTCACCGTCTTCCTTCACAAACATATCTCAGTTTCTTCTACACTTCTCTTCCTCTCCCATGGCGGACGAAGACGAATTTCGCTCTCCCGTAGAGCCGTCGCAGCAATCTCAAGACTACATCACAGAGCCTTGCATGGTTGGATTCGTCATCGCGAACATAGTAGGGTTAAAGTACTACTCAGGCCGAATCAACGGCCGAGAATTGGTGGGTCTGGTCCGTGAGCCCTTGAACCCATACGACGAGAACGCACTCAGAGTACTCAACACTCGCTCCGTCCAAGTGGGTCACATCGAGCGTGTGGTGGCCGCCGTTCTCTCGCCGTTGATTGACTCTCACACGATCCTCGTCGAAGGTATCGTACCCAATACTCGCTCTACCTCCAATAGGTTCAAAATTCCCTGCCAAATCCACATTTTCGCGAAGTTAGAAGAGTCCTCCGCCGTGAAATCGACGATTTCGCGAGCTGGGTTGGTGTTGATTTCGGATTCCGATACATCGTTTGGGTTATCAGAGGCTGCTGTGGTTAAGGAACAGATGGGTAATGGAGGGAACAAGAGCGTAGACAAGATTTTCAAACTGGTTGATAAGAATGTAAGGCAAAAGGAGCAGATGGTTGCGGTTGAGCCGCCGAGGGAAGTGATAAAGTCAGAACTTTTCGCTCATCAGAAGGAAGGATTGGGATGGTTACTCCACAGGGAGAAATCCGGTGAATTGCCTCCGTTTTGGGAGGAGAAAGATGGAGAATTTCTAAATGTTCTGACGAATTACCGCACGGATACTCGGCCTGAGTCTTTGCGAGGAGGAGTGTTTGCTGATGATATGGGATTGGGGAAGACCCTTACTTTGCTTTCCCTGATAGCTTTTGATAGATATGGCGACGCATCCAGCAGTACGCCAACCGAAGAGTCGGTGGTTGTTGAGGAAGAGAAGATTGAAAAGAAGGGTAAAAAGAGAGGAAGAGGAAAGAGCAGTGAAAGTGTAACTCGAAAGAAGAAGCTTAAGCCTGATGATGTTGTTGGCAATGGCGTGAACGTTTCTTCAAAGACAACGTTGATCGTTTGTCCACCTTCTGTGTTTTCGGCATGGATTACACAGCTAGAGGAGCATACTGTAGTGGGAAGCTTGAAGGTGTATATGTATCATGGTGGAGAAAGGACAGACGATGTTAACGAGCTTAACAAGTATGATATTGTGCTGACTACTTACAGCACTTTGGCTGTTGAGGAGCCTTGGGAAGATTCACCTGTGAAGAAGATGGAGTGGCTGAGAGTAATTCTGGATGAGGCACACACCATTAAGAATGCAAATGCTCAACAGAGCAGAGCGGTTTGTAAACTGAAGGCTTCTCGCAGATGGGCTGTCACAGGAACTCCTATTCAGAATGGTTCGTTTGATTTGTACTCTCTGATGGCTTTCCTCCGGTTTGAGCCATTCTCGATTAAGAGTTATTGGCAAAGCTTGATACAGCGTCCGCTCGGTCAAGGGAACAAGAGTGGGCTTTCCCGTTTACAGGTAAAAGAAAAGATATTCACATTTATGTCTTATTCTATGGTGAAATGTTGTTATTCAGTAGGTACATGCTTTTTTCAGGTTTTGATGGCGACAGTTTCGTTGAGGAGAACGAAAGAAAAGAGTTTGATTGGTTTGCCAGCTAAGACTGTTGAGACTTTTTACGTTGAACTTTCTCCGGAAGAGCGTCAGTTGTATGATCACATGGAAGGAGAAGCCAAAGGTGTTGTGCAAAATCTGATAAATAGTGGGAGCTTGATGCGCAACTACTCCACAGTTTTGAGTATAATCTTGCGTCTTAGACAGATTTGTGACGACCTTTCTCTCTGTCCTCCAGAGTTAAGATCTTTTACCACCTCCACATCTATCGAAGGTAAAAAGAAAACAGAACAGTTACACATATTCTTACTTTTTTTTGTTGCAAAGGTTAAATCTTTGTGTGTTTGTGTGAACCAGATGTGACTGGTAGGCCAGAGCTACTGCAAAAGCTTGTTGCAGTATTGCAAGATGGCGAAGATTTTGACTGTCCAATTTGCATTTCGCCACCAAAAGACATCATCATCACTCGATGTGCTCACATCTTCTGCAGAGCTTGTATTCTTCAAGCCCTTCAAAGGAGTAAACCCTTGTGCCCTCTTTGCCGTGGCTCTCTTACCCAATCTGACCTCTACAATGCTCCGCCTCCTCCTCCGGAGGCTTCCAATACTGATGAAGAAGACACCAACTCTTCAACCAAATCCTCAAAGGTCTCGGCTTTACTATCGCTTCTCATGGCATCAAGACAAGAAGACCCCAACACAAAGTCCGTTGTGTTCTCTCAATTCAGGAAGATGCTGCTTCTACTGGAAATCCCGCTGAAGTCTGCAGGTTTCACCATCTTACGCTTGGATGGGGCAATGACTGTGAGTAAACGTACCCAAGTCATTAAAGATTTTGGGAATTCGGAGTTAACCGGACCTGTAGTGTTGCTTGCGAGCCTCAAGGCCTCTGGTGCTGGCATAAACCTAACTGCAGCCTCGAGGGTTTACTTGTTGGAGCCGTGGTGGAACCCTGCAGTTGAAGAGCAGGCAATGGATAGGATTCATAGGATTGGGCAGAGGCAGGAGGTTAAAATGATAAGGATGATTGCTAGAAACAGTATCGAAGAGAGGGTCCTCGAGCTTCAGCAGAAGAAGAAGAATCTGGCGAACGAAGCTTTTAAAAGAAGGCAGAGGAAAGATCAAAGAGAGGTTAACGTTGAAGACGTGGTTGCTCTCATGTCTCTATAAACTCTAAATCATTCCCTAGTTTTTTTTTCCACTTGACCTTAAGAGTTTTAACCAGTTTTTTTAATCCTTCCTGAACCGATGTTTTTGTTAAATTAATTGGACTTGTCTCGGTTAGTTTTGGCTTAATGAAGGATTAGCTTGTACATGCGTTTTCTGGTTTCAGCCAAAATCGTTTAAGTGCTTCACGGGATTCTCTTTTAGTACAATCGGTCGAAGCAGCGGTCTTTCAACATTCAGCAAGCACAGTTTTGTCCCTCCGGTAATGGAACCGTAGGTCCCAAGAAAAGACGCCCAAAGATCAAGAATGATTGTTACCAACATAGCAGCACCTAAAAACAGCGAGACGTGATAGATCCCGTTTCTCACTTGATTTCTCTTCCATCCTGCAAAAAACCGGCATCACCAATGAATAACAAGGAGTTCAAGTGTTGTTTAAATGAGGATCAAGAAACTCAAAATATAGAGAACTATAGAGTTTGAGGAGTTTTCTTTACCATTGGAAAGCTCACAATGAAGTAAATGGCATAGAACAAACATCCAACTCTGTACATGGCACTTCGATCCACAAACTCGTAGCCTTGTGTCATGAAGAATGTTGTGTGAGGCACCTGTTCAACAACAGAAAAACATGCCATGATGAGTTCATGGAAACAAGAAAAAAACACAGCCTCGATTATCCGGTAAAGTAAATCTGTTTTGCTTACATAACTCATTTTCCACGATGGAAAAGTATACGACGCTCCAAGAACTTTTAAAAAATAGTGAGTGCACAAGTAATTCCACACATAGCTGAAAATAATTATCTATAGATTTGCCTGTTGAAGAAAATAAGATCTGAAAATTCTCTATAAATAATAGATTTCTGAAAATTTATAGTTCTGAAAATAAGCATTGAGTTAGATATTAGTATGTTTTAAAAGTCTAAATTTTTTAAATAAATGGGTTAACACGATGAGGAATAGGTGAAATTTTACCTTGGTTAAACAAATTTTACTTGACAAATTGCTAATAAATTGCTAATAAATTGCTAACAAATTGCTAACAAATTAAAAATAAGATCTGAAAATTCTCTACAAATTATAGATTTCTGAAAATTTATAGTTCTGAAAATAAGCACTGAGTTTGTTCTTGAAAAAAAAGGAGGAAAATCAATAGAGTAATGTGGCTCGGATTGTCAACGAGTCACATGTTAGGTGAATCTCTAAATTGTGGCTCGGATAGTCACAATCTGAAGTCTTTCCTAGATTGCATAGAGATATTTTTATGGAATTACTAATTGAATGATTTAAGAGGTTTATTTCCTGTAATGTTTTAGTGGACTGCATCAAGTTGGCCAAAGTAAGAAAAGAAGAGTAATCTTTGGTTCAGTTCAATGCAAAAGAGAGGAAGGTCTCTGTTTCAGAAAACGGAAAGGAAATTTCTTTCAATTTCTTTAAATAGTGTTGGACTTGTTAGGAATTTGGTCTTACGATGAGGAAATTTTGGTCGGCTTGACTTGTTGAATTAGAGAGGAAGAAGTAATCCATGAACTATAATTTTTGTAAAGAAACTGAAGTATCTATCATTGGTTGAAAACATAAATCTATAGTTTTGTTAAATATCTTAACTTTGTGTACATTTTAAAAATCAAATATCATCCACACTCAAAATACCAAGACTTGAATTTACTTGAGACTTTTATTTTGGATTGTGATCCGTAATTTTTTTTTCTGAAGTCTAATTCTGGTCTTTCCAAAACCTGTTATAAGTTTATAACTGTCTTATTATTGTAAAATAAGGATCAATCAGAGGGCATAATTATTAAATAAGTGGATGGTAAAGGCATAAATAAAAAGAAGTGAAAGGGTAAATTCATAAATATGTGTACACTTTTATCATCGAACACCAACAATTATACTCTGCAGCGGTAGCAAGTTATCTATCCGCGTAACAAGTTTTTTTTTCGATTTAATGCATTAGTTACTACTTACTAGTAATAGTAAGTATAAGTAGTCATCTGTCCGCGTAATAGTAATGTCCGCGTAATAGTAAGTGTAAGAAGGCTATTAGATCCAAATGATCTAGCAACTCCTCCAAACGATTGTAATCATTTGGTCCTCACTAGAAACATAATACAAAACAATGTACAAAAGTTAACTAGTCAATGGCAAAAAGAAATTACCAAACTAGTAAAACAAAAGTCATCATTACTCACGTAGATTGTCAATTGCATGTGGAATGATTAATGATTGTTTTCCCTCTTTCGATAAATACTAGTTTGGTAAAACGATAATCAATAATTGTTTCCCTCGTTCATATCGGAGTTCTCGATCTTCTCCACCGTATCGCTGCTAATATCGACTCCTTTGTTTTCTCTTTCATTATCAGAGTTCTTGAACAAAAGCTAGTTTGGTTAAAGATTGCAAAAAGATAAGCTCTATTCCAATACCAACTGGCCAAAAGTGTGGATTTTGTGAATGTTTAGTGCAAAGGCAAAATCGTTTTGCTTTTTAGATTCTTATTTTCCTTTTTAGATTTATTGTTTTTAAAAAATAGTTTTGTTCCTTCAGCTGGTCTTATGAGGATTACCAACATAGCCGATAAACAAACAATTCTACTCATGTATAAGAGGAGGCAAATCGACTCAGGTTAAACCAAGGTAACATTGCTTTCGGTTATGTCCAATTTGGTTAAACCCAAGTTAAAATTTGTTTAACTGTATAATATTCCTCATCGTGTTAACCTAAGGTAAAATTTGTTAGCAATTTGTTAGCAATTTATTAGCAAATTGTCAAGTAAGATTTGTTAGCAATTTGTTTATGTAAAATTTGTTTAACCAAGGTAAAATTTCACCTATTCCTCATCGTGTTAACCCATTTATTTTAAAATTTTAGACTTTTAAAACATATATCTAACTGGATCCACATGAACTAGCATAGCCACATATGTAACCAAATAATCAAGGATCGATTGGTGTGGCCTTTTCTGTAGTTTATTAAAGCGTAATTAAAAGAGTTATAAGGTTTTGTGATACAAGACAAGTAATAAAGAAAGAAAACAGCCACATAAGCAGTAGTGATCATACTACTTTCTATTTTTATTTTCTGTTATGAAGATACACATTTGTAGATACTTAACTAAGAAGAGATTATATGGCACAGTCTCTTATTTTATAAGGATTGAAACATAAGTTTGTAATTAAGATTTTGCTCTTATATAATTAGTTGAAATTTAGTTGGGCGTTAGATACTTATTTATGATGAGTCTTCACCTAACATGTTTTACTTGACGTCAACACACTTCTCGTTTTCCAATCTTCAAAAAGTCAAAACCGTTAATAAAAAGACTATTCATCTTTAGCAGATATCAAACGGCGTCAAATACGAAGGGGGCATTTACTCTTTCATATCGTAAAAGTCGTAATAAAATACAAAACTAAAAGTCAATTATACATACAAACAAATACTCTATAAACTAAATTATGCGATCTATCAGTTGGTGTTACCTGTCAAAAGTGCCGAGTGCTAAAAAATGTGTTAGGTTAAATCAATAAAGTATAACCTCTATAAAGTAATATTTGATAAAGTAATAATCACGATAAAGTAATAAATTTCTCCGGTCCCAACTCGGGCCAGTGTAAAAATAAGCAAAATGCGATAAGATGATAAGATAATAATATTTTTGAAACTCCTATGTAAAAATATGGTCCCAATAATGAGTTAAAGTAATAATTATATTAAACTATACATATATGTCTAAGAAGGTTGACAAAAAAAATATATGTCTAGGAAAATTTATGAAACTATGACTTAAAGTTTATCTTTAACTTTTTATTATATAAAAAACTCATAATGAATTTTTTTATATGCATCTAAAATTGTTAAATATGTTTAAAAACATTATTTTCAACTTCTTTAATAGCTATATTTTTCTAATCTTTTATTTTAATTTTTATCGTGTATCAAATTTTATAGAATTTTTTAAATAAGCTAATAATATATATTTTATTACGATATCCAAAAGATTTGATCATAATATCAAGTTTAATGTGTGATGTATTAACAAATAAGTTCTTCTAAATTCTTAATACATTATCGTATGAAGAATAATTTTCAAAATTATGAATTAAAAAATATATTTTTATAAATTAATAAATACTTTATTTATTCATAAAGTAATATCTTATAAGATAATAAAATTTCAAAGTCCCAACATTATTACTTTATAGATGTTTTACTGTATTACAATTTTATCTGATTAAATATTTATTGTAAGTTTTTGTTTGTATCCACATATGATTCCACAAATACATGTTAGGGTTAAATGAAACAGCATAATACAATATTTGTTCCTTGATCAAGAAAGTCAACAGTTTGTTACCATGTGTCGTTTTGATATTTTTCTATCCCAAAAAGACTTTTTTTTTTATCAAAATATAAAATACATCGATTATAAAATTACAAATCTATTGCTGTTTGATTGGTAATTATTTTATTCCGTACTGCAGCGATGCGGGTGTTACTATTACCACTTACGAAAAATGTCCAACATGATGATTCCAACATTACACTATTAGCGTAAGGTACCGAGTTATTGTTTCATGTACCAAAATATGGTAAACAATAATATGCTTATCTCTTTGATTTTTTGTTTTCTTCTTACATAAAATATGATATATTTAATCTCAACTAAATTGCATAAAAGCAGTGTATCTATATTCGTTAGACGGTATTGTATGGGTATTTTTGGAATGTGGTAAAATGAAAATCACGATTCAAATGTTACAGATTTGCTATGTACTGAACATTTTGAGGAATATATTTTGTTAAATCCAGAATCTTCTGGGCTATAAATCATTAGGCAGCTAGCCTAAAAGTGGCATCTATGAATTATGATTGCATTTTAGTTGCTATTCGGATGAATTTTGTAGATGGGACCATTCGTGGGTAGATGGATGGATTGTTATCATCCCTTCCACACAAAACACGCACCAGTTCCGGTGGGTCCACCGAAATCCCGTA